TTAAATTGGATGATACAATCTAAAATACTAGTATATTATCTCCCCCCCCCCCAATTAATGGAAATGGATCTTAAATTTTATTTAAATTTTTAGAATTATATGAACACTACTTTGTAGAAGGCTTTTGCATATTTTTAAAATCTATTTGAGTAAGAAGATGAAAATCTTGGAGTGTATTGAATTAATTCTTTAAGTGCCCTTTCAGAAAGTCAGTGTTTTAATAATTTTTACTTTGCTCATGTAAGTTGACTCTTACTAAATATTATATCCTTATTGGAAGTTTCCGGCTAGATAGTTGTGATCTTTTATTCATAAGATTCATCTCCATTATTAGTCTCAGATATTAAGGTTCAGTATTTACTTTGCATTGTAATAATTTACAGATTTTGATAATAGACTCCATGTATCAAAACTTCCTAAAACATTTCAATAGTAATTTAGCATAGGTTTTCTAGTAATTTTTTTTAACTTGTTATAATAATTAATTACGTATTAGAGTCTACATTCTATGCCTTTATGCTAGGAGCTGTTAAAGGGTACAATTATGATGATACTAGTAGCCCTGCACACAAATCCCTGCACCAGTAGGTCGCTGCCACCCTCCTGTAGCTCTCAGCCTGCTGCTCTGCTCTCCTGCAGTTCCCTCCACCCTGCCTATGGCTTGCTGCCCTGCCCCCTCCTGTAGCTCTCCACTGCCCGCTTATAGTTCACTGCCACACCCTCCTGCAGATCCGTGATCAAATCGTTATGTGGTTGGTCATTACACATCAGGGTGTAATGGATGATTAGCATATTTGTCTCTTATTATATAGGATTAGCCTTACCCTCAATTGTTTTACATTTGGGGAGTCCTTATTAAACAAGAAGCTAGAAGGCTGGGCGAAATGAAAGCTCTGTTGTGGAGATGTAACAGATTTTGACTAGAGAATCAGTTAACAGGAAAGTTTCACGGAAGCAGGAGGCTGGTGTATTTCACCCAATTATAACACTTCTTTATCAGTGATTTTCAAGTAGATTTCCTTTGCAGCGAAGCACCTCAGGGTGGTATTTCTTGGAAGTGACATTGAGTTAAGCGTTTGCTATTTCAGGAAACAAACAATAGGGAGTGGGTGCTATGGTGATTTGGGTATACAACCCATAGGGAAATAACATCCTTGAACAGGGCCCAGCACCTCACAAAGGTGATAACTGTATTGTGGTTATGCCTCCTGGCAGCAGGAATTCAGGGATGCTCTGATGTCATTGCTGCAGCTTGGACCATCTCTCTATGAAAGCTCTGCTTTCCACTCACTCAGGCTTGCTTGTGTAACTCTTCTATATTTTATCTCCATCTTTAAAAAAAATGATATACGGTTATTGATTTCAGGGCAAGGGAGAAAGAGATAGAAACATGAATAATGAGAGAGAATCATTCATCAGCTGCATCCTGCACGCTCCCTACTGGGGATGGAGCCCTGCCACCCAGACATGTCCCCTTGACCGGAATAGAACCTGGGACCCTTCAGTCACAGGCCTATGCTCTATCCACTGAGCCAAACCTGCTAGGGCTTGTTTCCATCTTTGCTTCAGTTCAGTCACTATTTTGTTTCCTTCATATCCTAAGCTTGCTCTCACCTGTTCAGCTCCCACTCCACCTTTATTCTCTCTGTCTATTCACGCTCAGATCTTACTATACAAAACTTTTCTAAGTTACTATTTTCTGGTTCAAATGGGAGAGTAATCTAATTGGGTAGAGCTGTGTTTTTTCTTGTCAGCATTAAGGTCCATTGGCTCATGAGTGAATGTATTGCTTTGGGTCCAAGCAGCTGTGGGACATAAACATGGATGCATGTGACTACTGTATCCACAGGGACTTTGTGTGGGTACTGCCTTAAAAAATATTTTTACTGATTTTCAGAGAGAGTGTAAGATCCATGGAAGAACAAGGCATCGATAAGCTGCCTCCTGCTTGCCCCCCACTGGTGAGAGAGCCTGCAGCCCAGGTACAATGCCCACAGTATGGGGTAGTTACTCTTAAAAAGTTAAGACTGAGATGTCAAGTAAAATAATACACTACCTTGAGAAGTGCTGACATTTTATGTTTTGGAATCACCTGGGAGAATATTCTCTATAATGTTTTCAGTACCGGAGCATAAAGAGTTTGAGGAATCCATGTGTTACATTAATAATGTTGACTTTTCCCCCCTCTAGCTTTGTAATCACACTCACTATGTTGCTTAGCAACTCTGCAGCATTATCTTCCAACCGAATGTAACTTGAAATACATGAGAAATGGAAACAAGAAATGTGATTCATAGGATTTGGTATTATTTCAAGTTACTGTCAACATAGCATGATATTACAAGACCATACAATACAGAATGCTTCTTGGCTTTTTTGAGTTAATATCAAAAGCACAGCGAACATTGAGTCACTTTAATTATTAGTAATAGAAATGTGATGGCCATAGACAGCCTTTCAGCCAGCTTTTCACATCCTTTATCTAAGTCTTCCCAAGAAGAACAAAACAAAAGCCTAAATTACATATTATTATTTTTGTTCTTTGAAAATTGTTCATAAAGGCAAAAAAGGGTGGCATTATTTTTTTTTAGCAGTGCAATGCCAATATCATTTTATTTCCCTTTTCAAAATGTAGGCCCTGCTTTGCGAAAGAATTGCTAGGAAGCAAGAGCTCTCAGTGCTGTGATGGAAGGAAAAGTGGGGCACAGAGGAAATCATCAGTTACTCTGTCAGCAACATTGATTGAAAGCTGGTCTTCTAGGCACGATGCTACAGTAATTACTAGTGAGACAGGAAGAATTTAGAAAAACAGAGAGATAAATTGAGCTAATGTTCGTATTGCTGGCGATATAAAAAACTAAGTGTGAAGAATTCGCATCAAGACCTATGCGATTTGCAAACATTTAGACTTTTCTCACTTTGAAAATAAACACTGACCCAAATGTCTAAACATGACAAGGATTCATGAGTGTGGGTCCTTGAAAAGTAGATATTGAGTTTAGAGAAATATCGCCTTTTTTTTTTTCTGATGAAATTTCCACGGTCCCTAAGTTAGACCAGTGTGGCTTTTAACTTTTGGGGGGATAACGACCACTTCAAAAATTTTATTGAAACCAAGGCTTTTCTTCCTAGAAAAATATAGATATCTAAAAACAGCATTTTACAATGAGTTTTCAGGGTCTGTAAAACTATAGGAGCCATCTATGAAACTGACATACAAAATTAGAAACCTTGATTCTAGAGAGCATGTTATTAGGGATGGAGTAGGGAGTGGCCAAAAAAAGGCGAGGGTGAGCCAAAACCAGTTTGGCTCAGTGGATAGAGAGTTGGCCTGTGGACTGAAAGGTCCCGGGTTCGATTCTGGTCAAGGGCATGTACCTTGGTTGCGAGCACATCCCCAGTGGGGGTGTGTGCAAGAGGCAGCTGATTGATGATTCTGTCTCATCGATGTTTCTAGCTCTCTATCCCTCTCTCTTCCTCTCTGTAAAAAAAATCAATAAAATATATTTTTTTTAAAAAGTTGAGGGTGAAATGAGAGGTAAGGTGGTTGGATTTAGAGTGTCTGGGGCTAAATACTCTCTCAAACTAAGGATTTCTTATCACCTACCATTGATTTTTCTCTTTTCTCTTTAACCACTATTGGACTCTTAACCACTCTACAAGTGGCATTAAAAAAAAAAAAAATTATAACCCTGGCTGGTGTGGCTCAGTTGGTTGGAGCATCATCCTATACACTAAAAGGTTGTGGGTTTGATTCTGGGTCAGGGCACATACCTAGGTTGTGGGTTCAATCCCTTAGTCAGGGTGCACACAGGGGGCAGATGATAGATGTTTCCCTCTCTCTCATTCTCTCTCTTCCTCTCTCTCTCTCTCTCTCTCTCTCTCTCTCTCTCTCTCTCTGTCTCAAAAGCAATTTAAAAAAATTAAAACTCTGTATCTGCCCTTATTTAGCTTATTAACCTTGGACAATCAGTTAATCCTTCTTAACCTCTGTTTCCTAATCTGTAAAATGGAGATAATATATAATTAAAAAAACACTGCAAGATAACATATGTAAAGCTCAAAGGAATCCCTCAAATGAAATGCATTATATTATTTACTAACATGTTCCAAGGTTTTGTATCTATTTCAGTGTTCACTTGTAGGCATATAATTATTTAGTCAGAAAATTCCTAAAGATAAGACAAAAATGTTGTCTAAAATGAATTTTTATAAAAATTCCCCTCAACAACATGTGTTTTGGTTTATTTATTGGAAATAAACTGGTTAATAAATTTGAATTAATCCTATATAATAAGAGGGGATATGCAAATTGACCATCACACCATCACAAAGATGGTGGCACCCATAGCCACAAGATGGGGCTTTCAGTCCCCTCAGCCCCACCAGAGTCCCAGTCCTTTCAGCCTTACTGGGGGGTAGGAGTGGCAGGTGCATGGTGTAGCCTGACCCATCCTCATCCTCCCAGCCACCCAGGGCTGGCCCAAAGTGCAAGCAAGCCTTGGATGGTGGCTGTCCAGCCATCCAGGGCCAACCGAGGCTCAGGTAACCAAGGGCAAGCCAAGGCTTGCACTGCTGGCAATGGCAGCAGCAGAGGTATGATGGAGGCATTGCCTTCCTTTGATCAATGGGCCACCTCCTACCCCTGAGGGTTCCTGGACTGTGACAGGGGGCAGGCCCGGCTAAAGGACCCCCATCCCCCGCCTCCAGTGCATGAGTTTTCATGTACTGGGTCTCTAGTATTATTATAAGATTGAAAAATAGCTTTGCTAGAAAAAAAGTAACAGAATATGTTAGAGATAAATGTTTAAACATTAAGCTATCTTAGTATATTTTTCATATTACTAGATCAAAATGAACTTTATTTTAGAGGTAAGTTGTATTTCAGTTTTAATACTCACTATTGTACATATTGGTCTTCTTTAATATTTGTCAATGAAAATAGCTAAAAATTATGTATAGTATACAATTGTATTAATATAATATTATTAACATTGCAGAGTGCAGAAGAAGCAGATATATCTGTCATTGCCCAGAACAAGAAATGCTTTGACAATGATATTGTTTGTTCTAAAAGTGTTTTGATTTCAGTTGGTGACACTGAAATTTACCTGAATGATACTCCTGACAAAGAGGTTAGTGAATTATTTCTTTTAGGATCATTATAATTTATACTAAGGATACTGAAAATAAAGTCTAAATAATTGGGGTACTTTTTCTCTGTAAACAGTTACTAGCTTTTGATTTTTTCTTGGCTATTTTTATGTGGCTACAGTGAGTCATATTTGACATGTCTCTTTTGATTATGCTCTAATTCTCCTTATTCTAATTATTTTATCTTTTCCTCATTCCCATGGTTATCACTCTGGCTTTATCAATAGTCACCTATTACCTAGAGTACTTGAACATGCTCCCAACTAGACTCCTGACTTCCTCTAATTGATCCTGACACACTCCAGTCAAATGGAAATCTAAGCTGTCACTCCAGTGCTTCAAAACTTTAAGTGACTTCCATTTCCTCACAAGGCCTCACCAATCTGACCATTGCCACCTCTCCTCACCTACGTCTCATTACTTTCTACTCTGATCCAGGTTCCAGAAGGTGGGGTTTTATCAGTTCTTCAAGAGCTCTGTGTTCTCTAACTTTTTTCTTCCTAATTATCATTGCTCATACCTGGAACCACCTTCAACTTATCCATTAACTTATTCTTATGTGATAGGTCTCATTTTATCTCTTTCAGGATCTCCTCTTCATGTATCCTACTTTAGTGAAATTAGGAGTGTGGTTGTCTTCTCTATTTGTCTATGAGTTATGTGAGAATTGGAGCCACTGTCACCCTATTTATTCTTACATTCTGGAGCCTGCCCATTTTGAAAGAATGAATAATTCTTTCAAGCTTATGTCTACTATATATCAAAATCTGTGTTAATTATTAAGATTGAAACAGTGAAAAGTCACTGTGCTTTCACTGTTAGGGATATTTTCTGAGGTGGGGAATATATTCAAGTAAGTAAGGATATGTAGTGTGATGTGTTATGCATGGCATGAATATGTACAGATAGTATGGGAACCCCTGAGAAAAAGACCTGAACTAACCTTGGGTGTTTAGGGTAAGTGTTAAGAGCACAGATTCTGAAGTTAGATAGTACTCAACTTGGAATCCCTATTCTATCACCTGCTAGCTGTGTCACTCTGGGCAAACTGTAGCTTTTCCATTTGTAAATTTGGGGTGATTCTACTTCTTAAGTTCATGTGAAGATTAAACTAAATAAAAAATTTCAAGAAATAACTCTTTTCCTCTTCTTTACCCTCCTTATTTTTAAAGACTCAGAGACATGTTCTAGATGTAATGATTTGAACTGAGTCATAAAGGATGAGCAGGTATTAGCCAAATAAAGAGAGAGAGAGTAGGAAGGCAATCAATAGAGAGGAAAGGACCAGAATTGAAAGATGAAATGGCATGTTTGAAGAACTCAAAGTGGTTAAGTTTAATTGAAGGGCATAGGAATACTGGAGGGAGGGTATGGCAAAGTGACTTGGGGAGAAGTGTCCAGATTGACTTTAATTCAGGGGCCATGATGGCAGGGGCAGTAGACAAGGAGGCTGGTTTCAGATCATGAGAGGTCTTTAATGGTGTAAGACAATTGAACTTATTTTACAAGTAAGAAGTTTTGGACATAAGTAAGAATGAATGGACATATGGCCCTTAAAAAGTGTCCTCTCAGATTTTAAAACAGTGTTTATCCAAAGTTTGGCGTGCAAAATTTCTGCATCTGAAATATCTTTCTATATAAAAGCCTAAGTGACCAAATGACTGACTGTTTGACCAGTATAAATGACACACAATGACCATCAGGGGGAAGATGCTCAATGCACAGGCATGGAAACATGGAACAGACTGATGAATCTCAGAAGGTTGGGGGAGGGCAGGAAGAGATTAACCAAAGATCTTACATGCAAACTAAAGGCCTGGTGCACGGATTCATGCGCCAGTGGGGTCCCTCAGCCTGGCCTGTGGGGATCAGGCTGAATCCATGCACCAGGCCTCTGACATCCCCTGAAGCAGGGGTCCTCAAACTTTTTAAAGTGGGGGCCAGATCACGGTCCCTCAGAGAGCTGGAGGGCCGGACTATATGAACTACTAATTCCTACTCTAACACCTCGGCTGCGCTCACTGCCCAAAAAATCTGGCGGGCCGGATCAGACTCCTCTGCGGGCCGCATGTGGCCCGTGGGCCGTAGTTTGAAGACCCCTGCCCTGAAGGCTCCTGGATTGTAAGAGAGCACAGGCCAGGCTGAGGAACCCCACTAGTACACGAATCAGTACACTGGGCCTCTAGTTTTTTTTTTTGTTGTTGTTTGTTTTTATAAAAGAGGATTCTTAAGTTCACCTTGGTAATGAGAATGGTTGAGGTTGAGAATGAAAATCTATTTTTAATGGTATCCCAAATTCTTTTGCATACTTAAGTTTGAGAACCAGTTCCCTAGAACAGGGATGGGAAACATCTGGCTTGTGGACCATATAAGGCCCTCGAAATAATTTGGTCTGGCTCTGCCAAGGCATTAGGAGTGAGTTATTTACATATTTGACCAAATATAGCAGACTAATTTTTAAGTTGATAATTTTGTATGGCCTATGAATGATGTTATAAATATCCAATTGACCCTTGGCAGAAAAAGGTTTCCTACCCCTCCTTTGGAACATAACTTACATTTCAGTCAGAAACATTGAGACATTGAGACCAGCCAGGCAGCACTCAAGCTTTGGACAAAACAGAGTTTCTATAATCATGTTGACATCCTTTTGAAATAATTACTACCGTTTGGTATAACAATCAACTGGATATTCATTTATAGACAAAGGTTCTCTCTAAGAACAAGGATGTATTAAAAAAACAAAACCTGAAGAGAAAATAATGCTTTTATGAAGACAGTTTAACACATTCTTGAAGTAGTAGTTACAGCTCTGTGTAATTTTCAAATCCAATTTTCACCTGTAGGCAGTTGATGAGGAAAGGTCATAAAGATAATTTGACTATAAAAAAATCCCTCACTAATATTGTTCTTCAACATTAAAAGTGAAAATAAGTACCATTTACTTTATGGAAAATGAATTGCTCATCTAGCCAAAGAAAATGAACCTTTCTCCCTCTCCCCCCCAATAAATGCTCACTTCTACTTTGATTAAAAACTAGAGGCCTGATGCATGAAATTGGTGCAAGAGTAGGCCTTCCTTCCCCTGGCCTCTGACACCTGAGATCTTGGCTGACTTCCCTACAGCCCTGGATTTGTCCAGAAGGACATCTGGAATGATGTCCAGAAGAACATCTGGTCTAATTAGCATATTACCCTTTTATTATTATAGATGTAGGATATAAACTTTTTATGAATTTAACCTGTACTTTGTTGTAATTCTTCACATTCATTTTATTTATTTATTTATTTTTTAGTTGATCTTAGAGTGAGAAAGAGAGAGAGGGAGAGAGAACTATCAATCAGTTGTTTCTCATACTTTTGCTGACTAAGGATAGAACCTGGCATAGAGGACAATGCTCCAACCAACTAAGCCACACCAGCCAGGGTTAATTCTATACATTTATAACATCACTAGAGTTTGTGTAAAGTGCTGTATTTCTCACCTAATGTGGATTTCTGTATTTTGGGCAATTCATAATACCGTGCTCTCTGAGAAGCATTCTTCCTTTCTGATTTTAAACAAAAGGAATATGCATCTCTTTTTGATCAAATATAATTATTGTGTGGTAGTAAACTGTCCTGTCTAATAAAAACTGTCCCGTAGGCAAATAGAGAAGATGTACTTTTACATCAGGATAATTAATGCAGAACTAACCTGAAGGAAGTCTAATAAGTTGCCTTATCCAAAAATTCATGTTATGGTCTAGTGATATGTCAGTCAGCCAAGAAACTTTAACAGAAAAATATATGGAAGATAATGTCATGATTAAAATGGAGCTATAAGCCACATTAGAAGCTTTACTTATTGCTGATCAGGCTGGAAGGTGAACAGGCCAATATAGGAAGGTGCTAAAAATTAATGAATCAGGGCTTGATCTAGATTCTAGAAGCTGAAGATACTGCCATGAGTTGACAAAGTACATCTTTCAAAGAGCTGACAATCAACTGAGGGGAAGACAGACAATAAAGCTGCAAACAAATCAGATAGCAGAAAGGTACTGAAAAGTGTAATCAAAACAATAGAAATAGGTTGGTGGCAGAGAGTGACTTGGGGCCAAGGCAGGCAACACATTTTATGGACCTAATGAAAAATGAAAATATGGGCCCATTGTCAAAACAGGAAAATGTTTTTCTTTCTTTTAGCGTTTCTCTTGACCTATCATGGTAATTTTTTTTCTTTATTAGTCAACTAGAGGCCCAGTGCATGAATTTGTGCACTGGTGGGTTCCTTAAGCCTGGCCTGCACCCTCTTGCAATCTGGGACTCTTCAGGGGATGTAGGGATCAGGCTGAAACTGGCAGTCCAACATCCCCCAAGGGGAGTAGTAGTGCACGAAGTGGCAGGTGGCCTGGGAGGAGCCTGAGCCTGGGCTGGGTGCCAAGCTGCTCCCACTCATCCCAGCCCTGCAAGGTAGTGCTGCCTAGAGGTGAGAGAGCCTTGCACCTCTGCAGCTACACTTGCCATCCATGAGCTCGACATTAGGAGTCTGTAGGTCAGTTGAATGGTGCTCCTGCTGTGGGAGCACACTGACCATCAGTGGGCAGCTCCTGCATTGAACGCCTGCCTCCTGGTGGTCAGTGTGCATCATAGCGATTGGTCATCCAGTCGTTCAGTCATTTGGTCACTTAAGCTTTTATATATATAGACTAGAGGTCTGGTGCATAAAATTTGTGCATGGAGGGATGTCCTTCAGCCTGGCCTCCACCCTCTCCAATCTGGGACATCCCTCTCACAATCTGGAACTGTTGGCTCCTAACTGCTTGCCTGCCTGCTGGCCTGATTGCCCCTAACTACTTCTGCCTGCCAGCCTGATTGCCCCCTAACCACTCCCCTGCTAACCTGATTGATGCCTAACTGCTCCCCTGCTGGCTCAATCGCCCCCAACTGCCCTCTCCTGATGTCCTGATCACCCCCAACTGCCCTTCTCTGCTGGCCTGATTGCCACTAACTACCCTCACCTGCCGGCCATCTTGTGGCAGCCATCTTTTTGTGGCCATCTTGTGATGACATAAAGACAGCCATCTTGTGGTGGCATATTGTGATGATGTCATGCAAGGGCCTGACACCACCTAAGCTTTTATTATATAGGATGCCTTTCTCACTTAAGCCAGTGGTCAGCAAACTCGTTAGTCAACAGAGCCAGATATCAACATTACAACAACTGAAATTTCTTTTGAGAGCTAAATTTTTTTAAACTTAAACTTCTTCTTATGCCACTTCTTCAAAAGTAGACTCGCCCAGGCCGTAGTATTTTGTGGAAGAGCCACACTCAAGGGGCCAAAGAGCCGCATGTGGCTGGTAAGCTGCAGTTTGCCAACCACAGACTTAAGCACAAGGATACTCCCAGGTTGAGTTCAGACTCTCAGAGGTACCCAGGGCCTTTCCTTTAACTTCAGCTTGGCACTTTTATTTTCTATTGTAATTATGTATGTTTATAGGTAAAGTAATACATCGTCAATGTAGAATTTCTGAGTCAGTTGATATATTGTCTTAATTTATTCTATGTCCATGCTCTTGTTCATGCTTTTTTCTATAACTGAAATACCTTTCCCTTTTGGCTCATTAATCCATGTTGAGCCCATTCAACAGCTTGTGTCTCATAAAACCCATTTTATGTATTTCCTATTTTATGTATTTGTTTTGTCATTTATTATAGAATTCAGAAAGAAGGACTGAGCAAAAATACTAGTATACAGATACTACTTAGTAAATCATAATTTAATGTTTACATTTTAAAAGCAATGAATTTACTTTAAAAAATAATTATTATTATTTCTAAAGAAGCAATCAGGTTTTTTCCTGGAAAATGAACCTACATACCAGCTTTGGAAGGCAGGGTACTACATGGTGGTATACTTCCCAGAGAAAGATATCACTATTCTTTGGGATAAAAAGACAACCATTCATATCAAAATTGGACCACAGTGGAAGGTAGGTCAACCTATTTGGTAGGTCAATCCAAGTGATAATGCAAAATATGAAATAACATGTGCCTTTTAATGTTTTGTGGAAATAAGATGATGAATGTCTTTTTTAAAGAAATGGGTTATATTTTCAGAATTACTAATTCATATTTCAATGAAGAACCACTTTACCAACTAGAGTACATCATTGTATACAGTTCTTTTTGTATTATCCTCACTGTATCCAGTTTTCCAAAACTACTTAGGTCATCTTCTTCTTCTTCTTCTTTTTAAAATATATTTCTTTATTGATTTCAGAGAGGAAGGGAAAAGGAGAGAGATAGAAACATCAATGGTGGAGAGAATCATTGATTGGCTGCCTCCTGCACAACCCCTACTGGGGATCCAACCCACAACCCAGGCATGTGCCTTTGTCCGGAATAGGACCTCGGACCCTTCAGTCCGCAGGTCAACGCTCTATCCTCTGAGCCAAGCCCGCCAGGGCCAGGTCAGCTTCTTTCTTCCCATCCACTTCAGCATGGTTTTGTGATATGTTTAAAATACAGTTTGATTCATTAGTTACAAACTGCACTTCATCTTTCCCTCCATATCTGGATCTATTTTTTAAATTTTTATATAGTCAAATTATTTTTAAAAAGTAAAAAACAATACTCTTATGATTTACAATTGTACAGATTTTAACAAACACCTAGTGTTATATACCCACCACCACAGTCTTATATAAAGCAAATCCATCAACTCCAAAATTTCTCCCAGGTTGGCCCTCTTCTGCAAGCTCCTACCTCTATTCCTTAAACTTTGGAAACCACTGATTTATTTTTCATTCCTAGAGTTTTGATTTTTCTGGATATGATATAAATGAAATTGTACAATCTGTAATCTTTTGGTCTGGCTTCTTTGATTTGGTAAAATATATTTAAGATTCATTCATATTGTTGAGTATATTAATAGTTTGTTCCTTTATACTGCTGAGTAGTATTCTGTTGTATAGATGTAATAGTTTGTTTTATGATTTAATATTCATGATTTAATATTCAATTTTGGATGCTTACCATTTTGATAATTATATTTTCAGTTGTTTTAAACATTGTCTTCTATTAAATATTTTGTTAAATATTTTTAAATATGTTTATTATTTTAAATATTCAAATTTTTGTTTCAGTAGTTTAAATTTATATATATTTTTTTGACATATTGATGTATTTATAAGAATTCAGTTTATCTGAAATTGAAATTGTGACATGGATATAATTTGTGGCAAATAAGGAAAAAATTATAATAACATATCCTCATAAAACTATGAGAAATATGTATTTAAAAATATTTTAACATGTTATAAATTTTAGATATGATTGTATATTGAAGTCATTTTCTTTTTCCTAGGTGAGAGAAAGCCCCCAAATCTATTCCTTGGTGTTTGCTGGTTTCTTGCATTTCTTTTATGAAGTTGACATACTTTTATAATGGTCATAGGTCTTTAATGATTTTCCTTTGCCATTTTTCATCATGTGTCCTCCTTCCCCTATTTTTTGGAAACAAATTAACCATTTAGTTTTGCATCCCCCAACTCCGCCCTGCCCCCAGTGGCGGATTGTTCAGTCTTTGGATAAATGTAGTGGCTTCTGAGAGCAGAGACACTGAGGTCAGCAGTGGCCTGGCAGCTGTAATCCTAGGGTTGCTGTCAGCCTTGCTGAAGACACGGGCAGTCTGCTTCATCCTCATTGAAGGGCTGCAGTGCACCCTTCAGCACACCAACAAAGTCAGTTTGCTTCCTTTTAAAATTTTAAGGAGGATTTCCATGGTTTATGAAAAATTCTTCCCTGTATTCTTAGTCCATCTCCTTTCCCGCAGAGTAAAATTTTACACATTATTTGAGAAAATTCAGTGGGTATTGTTGATGTGAATAATCCATATGATACTTTCAATAATAATTTTACAACCCATAATGATTTTTATAAAATTAGGTAAAATTTAGATTTTATTCACTGTATCATGATGGCATTATATAGAAATATTAAAGTTAATTTTTGTTATATTTTTAATGTTCTGGCTTTTCAGTCTAATAAGGAGGAAAAGAAATTAGTTTATTGTTTCAACATTTATAGTGGTAGAAAACCTTAAACAATCAGAAGGTGGGGCTTTTATCAATAAAATTTTATATATACATGAATACATACAAGTGTAATGTTTGTATTATTCTTTTCCATGTTACTTATGCTATTGGTTGCATCAATGCTAAGACATTGGTAAGTGTGGAAAGATAAAAATTTGGAGGACGGTAGAACATTTTTGAAAATTTAAAAATAATTGTTAAATATAATTAGCTACGTATGAAACTCCACATTTTTGAAACATATTGTAAATGGTTATTGAATAAATTATTAAAATGTCTATCTTAAACATTTAAAATATTTTAGTTATCTGTCCTTAAATGTTAAAGTGAACATAGAATATTTCTTAGTAATTTTCTCTTGCTTTAGAACAAAATATCAGGATTATGTGGAAACTTTGACAAATGTACTTCAAATGACATGACCACATCTAATAACTTAGAAGTGAGAAATGCCCAGGTGTTTGGAGATAGCTGGGCATTAGGACAGGTAAGTTGAATATAGATCTTATAAGTAAATAATTTTATTCTTATGGGAGCATTTATTTAGATAATACTAGTTTTATGTAATAGTTGTATAGCAATTCATATTGGACAAACTGCTTTCACATTTGTCTTTTAATATCATTCTTGTGACAACCATACAATGTAATAGACGTTGTCTTCATGTTATAAATGGAGAAACTGAGGCTGAAGGAGGTTAAATTATCTGTGAATTAGACAAATATTACAAAAGATTGTATTAGGAAGGATGAGTCTAAAGAATTCAAGAAGGTCTTCTGCCTTTGTGGCTTGTTGGGTAGATGCTGGCGCTCTTCCCTGAGGCAGGACAAAGCGGAGGGTGGGTGGCAGGGGACGGTGAGAGCAGGGCAATGGTGCAGAGGTAAGTAGGCTCGGGTATGGTGAGAGGGAAGTGACAGAGATATCTTTTGTGAAAATGCCCAGCTTTCAGATTCAGTAAAGAGATCCAGGCTAGAAATAGATTTGGCAGCTACAAGTGTATTCGGGGTGTTGAGGCCATGAGAAGCGAATAGAATGTGGGAAAGAGAAGTTTGAAGGTCAAGGTTTCCTAAGAAGGGAGGGTGAAGGAGAATGGGGAGTAGCAGCCAAGGAGGAACCTCCCCCCGCCCCCCAAATGGTGCCACAAAAATCAAATGAGGAGAGACCTTTAAAAAGGGCAAAGTAATAAACAGAATCAAAGGTAGCAAGAAAGGTCAAGTGAGATGAAGACTGCAAAACTGCCTTTGTACTTAGCAATGAAGAGACCAAGATGACCTTTCCCAGGGCGGTGTCAGGTGTAGATTAGAAGAGTCTGAGACCACATTGCTGAGTACACTGGCGGTGAGCCTGCTGACAGGAGTGTGAGTGTGTAGAACTCAGAGGATGGCACACGACAGAAATGAAAGAGGTGAAAATGAAAGGAAAGAGAATCCTTTGCTCATGTAATGATCTTAATCATTTAAATGCCGCACTTAAGGCAATTGGGAAATTATTTACCTCTACTGTCTCTAATAGTCCTATGATTTTTAACAGTATGTTTGGTTGTTTTCAAAAATAACGCATGCTATGAACATTGAGCTGGCTGAGCACTGTGCTTTAGGCAAAGCCTGTCTGGAAGAAGGAGGATATATGGTATTAGCTGTTTGTCATGGACACAGTCAGCATTGGTTACTCTGGTTTCTGCTTCACAGATGACCCCTAAAACTTTCTTTTCTCCCTTAACATTTTCCGCAGTGTGAAAACGCACATGAATTATTTAAACCCTGTGAGGCACATCAGAACAAATTTCCGTATGCCAAGAAAGAATGCTCCATTTTGTACAGTGATGTTTTTGCTCCTTGTCGCAATGTGGTAAATGAATACTTTACTAATCTCTCACCTTTAAATGGGTACTGCTACATTTATAACATTGAGACAAATAATTTAGCTAACCATGGTTAGGAAGACAAATTTGGTAGTTTTTTGTTTTTTTCTTTTTCTGTAAAAGTGATGCATTTAGTTGATTTCCTCTCTCCACACACCATCTTTTTAAAATAGCATCCATTTGCAGGAATCTCTACTAGTTTATGAAGCATTTCTTTGCATACATCATCAAAGCCATAAAAGATTGATCAAAGCTGCATTTGTTTTTCTGCAGAGAATACTACAAATAGGCATGCTCTTCCTCAACCCCAAGTATAGTTTAAAAGTATTTCCAGTAGCACATTTAAAATGGTTTTAGAAGCATATCACAAGATGGACTGTAATGTATTTAGAAATGTAATTGCTTAAGATATCTATAAATGTCAAGTAAAAGTACCATGGGTAACAGAATTTTTTTAATGCCAATGTGAATATTCCAAAGATGAAACAATGAACTTCTGCAAATTATAAATCTGTTATATTGCATACGTTGAAATTATATTGGTATGTTAATCCCATTACATGATTTGCTAGTTCTTTGATCTTACATTTGCCTAATCAATTTCTTTCTCCTGTGAGCATGATAGAGGTTTGAGATATTGAGGACTCTCTAGGTATCAGTGACAACCTGTTAGTATCAAATTTCATAAATTTACCTGTTAGTTTTTCCTTAGACTTTCCCTCAATTATAGTTAGTAGTTACTGAAATTGATTGATTTTTTTACCTAATTTTTCAGATTGATGTTACTTCTTTTGCCAAAAATTGCCATGAAGACACTTGTAACTGTAATCTCGGTGGGGACTGTGAGTGCTTATGCACAAGTGTAGCAGCTTATGCACATAAGTGTTGTCAGGAAGGGGTACCGGTTCACTGGAGATCCTCTACTGTTTGTGGTAAGTATCCCTCTTAGGACTTCATCATTAGGTGGGAACGTCATAAGGAGATCCTATTAATTGTCTTCTCATAGAAATAATACCATAAAACTCATGAAAATAGAATTGCTTTAAGATGACTAAATTGTGTATTCCTTTGATAATGCAGATACATTTTAGCATAGCTAAAGAATTTACAAACAGAAAAATTTGAGATAATGTTTTCTGTTCTGTGTTTGACTGTTGTCACTTCAACATGTGAACTGTAATTTACTTATATGCCATCCTGAGATAAAGTGTTTATTCCGCTATTCCTCTTATGGCTATGAAGTTTCTTTGTTCTGATTATAAGAAACATTTTTTAAAAACATCATTTTGGATTGCTTTTAAATTTGATTCTAAACTTATTATATACTTGTGTAGATGGTTAGTCTGCTGAAGACTTTATAATAACGTCACTTCACGGTTCTTTTGCTTGGTCATTGATAAACACATGGCAATATCTTACATTTAGGCCAGATTCCTATATAAGTTAACATTTCTTCTCTTTTTTTCTTTTAGCACATGATTGTGACTATTACAATGAAGGTATGTGACAGTTAAGGAATATCACTATAGTATTCTATTAAATGTATTTTCAGATTAAAAGTTTTTGGACAACTTTGCTGGGAACAAAGTATGAATAGTTAATAATTTGGTTTGCAATTCAATAAAAGCCTTTGCCTTCTAAACTGTATCTAAATTTCTAAGTATTTGTGTTAAAATTTATTCCCTGGAAAATAAAAGGAGGGTATGACCATCATCTTAGCACATAGGAGGCCCTCAATAGTTTTTGAATGATATAAAAATATAAATGAGTGAACTTAGCTAATTTTTTTTGGTAAAATGAAAGAGAGACATAGACCAAATGTATACCTTTTACCATTGTGTATAAAAATGAAAATTATGCAAACTTTTATTATGTTGTAGAAAAGGGAAACAAATTATAGATGTCATAATAATAGAAAGAATTTATATAGTCATAAGTTAGGGCACAAATAATTATTTAAATATTATAAGAACGAGAATATATTAATTTCATAATAATAATGAAAATCTCCTAGCTCTAAAAACATCCACATTTGCAGTAAGAAGTTTAACAGATGGTGCTGGCTGTTACTAAGTTATAGAAGCTATGAGACAAAATTATATTCTTAGTGAAAGCACCAGAAGTTGGCAGATTGGAACATGTTTCTTGTCAAACCTGTTTAATGAGGAAGGTGTAGCCACTTAACACTAATTTCAGAAAAGTAAGATGATTCAAGAGGTGTCTATTTCGTCAGTGACTGGACAAAATATGAACCCATGATGGAAATAATAGAGTAATAGTTGTAGGAAACCCTAATCCCATGCTCAGCAAACTACAGCTCATGAGCCATACGCAGCTCTTTGGCCCTTTTTTGAAGAAGTGGTGTTAGAAGAAGTCTAAGTTTCAAAAATTTGGCTCTCAAAAGAAATTTCAATTGTTGTACTGTTGATATTTGGCTCTATTGACTAATTAGCTTGCCAACCACTTCCCTAAGCCATTTAAAAACACCAACAACTAAGCAACCAATCAAAGGCATTTTTGGTGCTTTATTGAATCAGAGTTTGTCAACTATAGTACAAAGGAGGCCAGAACATATTGGATAAATAGAGATGCTAAATTAAAAAGAAAATAAATATTTTAGTTTTTTGTTTTCATATAGGTATGGAAGTTTGATAAAGGAAACAATCGAACATTAAAAATATTCTGTGATAGTTTAAAAAATATATTTCTTGTCAGGATTTAAAACACACCCAATACTCCAGATCAGTCATTTGGAATTCATGTTTAAAGTGAGACTGATTGCCTAATATATATAACAGTAATGATAACAATAGTTTTATTATATTGGCAACTTTATAATTTAAGTTTCAAAACATGCTTGTACTATATGCATTGTTATTAACACTTTATAGAGGAGGTAATTGAAGGACAGAGGAGTAAGTAATTTGGCCAAAGTCACTTAGCCAAAATGTTGTTAGCTGGGATTTATAAGCAATCTGAGTTCAGAACCAAGGAGCTTGATCACTTCCATGCTACACTGCCTAGTGTCTGGTTAACACATCCTACTCTAAGAACGATCACCACACGTTGTTATCATACACTCTGCAGAATGTACACAGAAACTGATTTAAGAAAACACTCCACATACAACAGTATGGTGGTTATTACTGGGAAGAGGGAAGAGGGTGGGGGTAGTAAAGGGTAAAGGGGACCAAATATACAGTATATATGGTGATAGAAGATGACTTGACTTTGGGTGGTGGGTACACAATGCAATATGAATATTATGTATCATAGGAATCTACACCTGAAACCTATATAATCTTATTGACCAGTCTCACCCCAATAAAAAGGAAAGAAAAAAAAAAGAAAAAAGAAAACACTCCAATAGCTTCTTCACTTAAGAATTCCTGCCTCACGTAGTTCTGCTGTGAAAGTCTGTACTTTCTCGTGTTCCTTCTGGAGGCTCTTGGATCCAGAAGCAGAATTTTCTGAGAATTGACTTCTGCCTCTTCTTATTTAGTATATTTTCCTTTCTGGCAACAAGTCTGTGCACTTCTACTGGTGGTTCTTACCTCTAATGTGTTATAGCATTCTTCAAAAACAGCTTTTTAGTTTCATTTTTAATGATATTGGTCATATTCAGAGGGTGAACATGAGGCATTTGGCCTTCATGAGACACCGATGAACTCAGTGAAGTGACAGGGGAATCTATTCTCTAGGACTAAACTAATAGGGAGAAGAACCAATCGACACAGGAGAGTAAGAGTTCATGAAAAAATAGCCCTAGCTGTTTTGGCTCAGTGGATGGCGTGTCAACCTGCGACTGAAGGATCACGGTTCAATTCTGGTCAAGGGCATGTACCTTGGTTGTGGGCACATCCCCAGTAGTGAGTGTGCAGGAGGCAGCTGATTGATGTTTCTCTCTCATTGATGTTTCTAACTCTCTAGCCCTCTCCCTTCCTCTCTGTAAAAAATCAATAAAACATATTTTTAAAAAGTTCATAAAAATGATGCAATAAAATGGATGATTGACAGGCATATAATATTTTTATAGTAGTACAGAAAAAATGTTTTAAATGATTATTCTTAATTTTTTTTTCATCTCGAATGATGTCAGAGCTCTTGTAAATTTGCCTACTCTTCTTTGGATATTCATAGATGACATACTTCTCTGTTTACTTATCACATCATGGACACTATCTTATTAAAATTCTTACTTATTTAAGAAATTCAGAAATAAATAATTGTAATTCTATTAGAGGATTTTTTTTTAAAAGGCAGATGAATTCAAAGGTTACAGCTGAGATTCTCTCAAAAATCTTCAATACAAAGACAATATATTATCTTCATGTTCATTTTATGGCATTTGCAAAAATATAAATATTGTATTGTTATTGCCATAAATGAGCAAGGACTTCACAATCCCACTAAAACATGTTGTACACATTTTATGTTCAGTGTTTTCTTGATAGGATATGCTTAACACTATGTTTAAAAAATCACTGCAGGAAATTATTGCTTTTGGTAGATGGTAAAATTATTCTTCTCCCTGCAGAAAATTAATGATAAAGTCAATGACTGTGTCTCTCAATGTTGGTGAAAATGTATGAAAACAATCCATACACAAGGTATCAATCAACTGGGAGTCAACTCTAGAGTGTTTGATTTTTATACAAATGGATTTCTCAGGTGGCAGTTATCTCTTCAGACTGCTGTAGCAAGGGACTTGTGCAGTACGGCAGAGATTTTGTTCATTTATCTATTTCTTTTTCCCTATTCATTTTTAAAAAAATATGTATTTTTATTGATTTCAGAGAGGGAGAAAAAGATAGAAACATAAATGATGCGAGAGAATCATCCATTGGCTGACTCCTGCAACATGGGCAAGTGCCCTGATGGGGAATTGAACTGTGACCTTCTGGTTCATGGATCAGTGCTCAACCATTGAGTCATATTGAAGGCCAGGCCTTTTCCCTATTCTTATGTTGAATATCCATGAGGGTATTCAAACCCTTAAGTTATAGTTGTATATATGTCTTCTTCATTTTGAATTGTATCTAATTATAATATACATATTTATCTACTAATTTGTACATTATTTACATAGAGGGGTAGGCAAAAGTAGGTTTGCCATTGTGAGTACTTGAAACACAACTTGTTTTTGTATTATCTATCATTTATCTATCTATCTATAATTTATTATTTGCTTACCCTATATTTATACAAATCTATATATTTGTAAATTGAAGGATATTACATCTTGAAAGTTTATGTTGTTCTTGTCTTTCCTAGAAAACAATTCAGTAGGTGGTGTAGACTAATGATAGAGTTTTCTTTGGTTTTTATTGACTTGAGCTCAGAGAGAAACATTGTACATGTAACTGGGGTGTGCACTGCTTAGAAATTCTCCACTGTCCCTGCTCAGCTTTGTCTTGGTGTGGGGGCAACGTTCTTTCAAGTCTCCTCTCCACCCAATGTGTCAACTCCCTTAGAAAGCTCTTTTCCTCATGGCTTATAAGTGTCCACAGCAGTTGAAAGGCAAAGTGTCCCAGCTGATGAGTCAGTGGAGGAGACCAGGCTTGAAGATAACTCATTCTCTGAGACCCTGCCTCTTCTCCTGGTCCTAATGGTGAATATTTTGGTTCTTGCTCTCCTTTCTACTTAAAAGATGTTTGACCCTCTAATCCAATGATTTTCTTTTCTTCTCTCAGGCGTGGTCTTCATTCTGAAAGGGAAACAACCTTGTCCTTGGATTTCTTTAAATATGTTCTTTCCTCCCTCTTAACAATAGGCTGGAAAAGGAAAATTATTCTTGAAATTAAAAATTAGAGAATAGCCGGAACAGGTTTGGCTCAGTGGATAGAGCATTGGCCTGCGGACTGAAGGGTCCAGGGTTCGATTCCGGTCAAGGGCATGTGCCTTAGTTGCGGGCACATCCCCAGTAGGGGATGTGCAGGAGGCAGCTGATTGATGTTTCTCTCTCACTGATGTTTCTAACTCTTTGTTTCCCTTCCTCTCTGTAAAAAATCAATAAAACAAAAAAATAAAAAAATTAGAGACTAGAAGGAAAGTGAAATGCGATAAGAGTAAACAGATTAATATTTTTTTAATACCACATGCTACATATATATTAGCATTTTACATAACTTATAACATAAAATATACATATGTCTGTAAAAGGTATACTGCTGATCATTTTTATTTATTTATTTATTTATTTATAATATATATTTTATTGATTTTTACAGAGAGGAAGGGAGAGAGATAGAGAACTAGAAACATCGATGAGAGAGAAACATCGACCAGCTGCCTCTTGCACACCCCCATCGGGGATGTGCCCACAACCAATGTACATGCCTTTGATCGGAATGGAACTGGGACCTTTCAGTCCACAGACCGACTCTCTACCGCTGAGCCAAACCAGTTTCGGCTGCTGATTATTTTTAAAAAATATATATATTTTATTGATTTTTTACAGAGAGTAGAAGAGAGTGATAGAGAGCTAGAAATGTCAATGAGAGAGAAACATCAACCAGCTGCCTCTTGCACACCCCCTACTGGGGATGTGCCCGCAACCAAGGTACATGCCCTTGACCGGAATCGAACCTGGAACCTTTCAGTCCGCAGACCGATGCTCTACCACTGAGCCAAACCGGTTTCGGCGGCTGCTGATCATTTTTAACTTAGTAATTTTGATGATTAAGAATGAACTTCACATAGGATTGGGTTGAAGCTAATTTGATTTTATTATCATAAAATCTAACTCATATATTTTTAAATATTAGCAAACTTATTTACAATATATATTATTCTGTTTATAAGATTAAATTTTTTGCAGAAAAAAATTTCAGATTGAGCTGCAGGTTTGGTTCTATACAAACTATAGCAAGTATTTTCTACTTTATATGGAACTACTTAAGTGTATGGGAAATGATAGTATTAAATAAAAAGATCTTTGATATCTCTGTTAAGCTTCTTCATATTTTTAAAATTTATCTTTATTGTTGAAAGTATTACATATGTCCCCTTTTTTCCTCTTTCCACTGACCCCTGGCATAAGACTTCCTTCTCCCAAGCCCTACTGCCCTATAGTCTGTGTCCATGGGTTATGCACATATACATATACATATACATATACATATACATATACATATACATATACATTCTTTGGTTAATCTCTCTACCACAGTCCTCTGAGATTTGTCAATTTGTTCCATGCTTCCATGTCTCTGGATCTATTTTGTTCATTATTTTCTTTTTATAGACATGCCTCATGGTTGAAATTCAATAATCCTAGAAGAGCAAAATATTGTATATCACATCTGTGAATTCTGTTTTTGTGCAATGTAACCTATTAGAAATTACTTTTAGAAGACTATCAGAATACCTGGTCATTGATGGATAAACAAACTTATGCTTATTGAGAGTAGATTAGAATCTTGGAATGTTAGAGTGGAAGGTTAATTAGACAAAGTTCTTCATATAGGTGGGAAAATTTGAGGTGCAGAAAGCTATTAGGTCTAGTAATAATTAATGTCGTTTTCTAATACTTTTTTAAATCGAATTTATTTAAACAATACAACAAAATTTAATCAACAATATAGTTGCCGTTGTTTTCTACAACTTGTGCCCAATGCTCAGGAAGCATTTTAATCCCTCTGTTGTAAAATTCTTGTGATTTTGATGCAAAAAATTCGGTCAATGCATTTTTGAGGCATTCTTCATTATTAAATTTTTTTCCAAGAAGAAAGTTTTGCAAAGAACGAAACAAATGGTAATCGGAAGGGGCAATATCAGGAGAATATGCAGGTTGAGGGAGAACTTCCCATTCCAACTGGCGCAGTTTTTCAGCAGTGATTCTTGCAGTATGCGGTCGTGCGTTATTGTGGTGAAGAATTACGCCCTTCCGATTAATCAGCGCGGGTTCTTTTTCTCTTAAAGCTTGGGATAACCTTTCCAATTGGGCACTATACACTGCACTTGTAATGGTTTGGGTAGATGGTAAAAGTTCATAATGAAGAATTCCTTTAAAATTCCACCAAACACACAACATCACTTTTTTCACATGCAAGTCAGGTTTTGGCGTGGGCTGTGGAGCCTCATTTTTGTCCAACCATTGAGGCCGCCTTTACAAATTAACATACAGCACCCATTTTTCATCTCCGGTAACAATTTGCTCTAAAAACGGCAAACGGTTTTGACGAGAGAGGAGTGAACTGCAAATTGTGACTCTGATTACGGTTGTTGTCGGTCAACTCATGAGGAACCCATTTTCCAAACTTTTGGACTTTGCCAAGTGCACGCAATTGATTGGAAATTGTTTTTTGTGAACAATTTAAAGTTGTCGCAAGCTCTTGTTGGATAATTTGAGGATTTTGCACCAAAAGAGCTTGAAGAACTTCTTGATCAAAATTGGACACATGGCCTCGACCACTCTTGTCATCTAACGAAAACTTTCCCTCCCGAAATTTCTCAAACCAACGCTGGCATTTTCTGGCGCTAACTGCATCTTGACCAAGAGCACTACAGATGTTTTTTGCAGCCTCACTTGCTTTTCTTCCCAATTGGAACTCGTAAAGCATGCAGTGCCAAATATGCTCTTCATCCGCCATCTTCTTAGCCCTAGTTTTGCAACAAAAACCAAACCAAACACAAACTTTTTCAAGCAAAACTTGTTAATTGCACTTCACACGTTCTGTAGATACCACGTGTTTGAAGGTTATGTCAATACAAGTCAACGCCAAGCAAGATTTTAAACGAATGTTAAAACGACATTAAGTATTACTAGACCCGATATGTCATTCTTTTATCCAACATGGCTATACACACATGTATACGTATACACATCCATGTGTATATATATTATAAATTACATAACTATGTATGTATATAGTCCAAAAATTATAGTATATATTTTTGTAAAGAGTTCAGCGATTTTATTGGTGAGTAATGTTTAAATGTGCAGCAAGTTTTGGAGTAGCTTTTGTTATTAAAATTTATCCCATTTAAATGATAGCTTGAAATGTAAAAATTATATGCCAATTTATGGTTCTTTTATTTGTATTTAAACAGGGCTTGGAGAAGGTCCATATATGCTGGCAAGTTATGGGCAGAGTGGCCTTGTTTTGGGGGCCAATATAACCAGTAGAAGTATTTTCCCTTTGTCAAGAGTTGGTACTCAAGGTGATTTATTTTTCATTTTTATGATCACTCCAGGTCTTTTCAAAGAGAAGGCATCATGTAAGTATAATTTCCAATTGAAAATAAGATTTTAGTTTTCTATTTACACTATTTCAATTGTTTATTCACTAAATATTAATTTGGGATCTAATATGTGTATGGCATTTTTTCTAGGTGTCCCAGAGAATATAAAATAAGATGCTGGTACATGAACTATCTATCTCTTTTGTATATAAAATAATTACTTTTCTTGATCTGTTGGCATATATATGTTAGGATTGTGATTATTGGATTTTTTTGGTCCTAAATAAAACACAGCTTAAATTTTTTATGGTATTAATCACTGTACTTAATTTGAAATTTTTGAAAAACAGTCCACTAATAGCTAACATCTGAAAGATTTAAATGTTTAAGGAAAAGAAAAAAATGTGATTTGATATAAAAAAGTTGTTAAATAGTAAGAACATAACTCAGAGCAGAGAGAGCCATTGGGACCATTTGTTACCCTCACCTGCCCTTGTGTGTCTCAGTGCCTGCCCCACATTTACTGACCCACACGGGCTGTATCTGCTTGGAACCTGTCTGATCTGTGAGGCCCGAGCTACACTGTTACTGTACCAGCCATGCCTCGTGTATTTATGTATAAGCTTAGGAAATGTTTATTGAATGAATAAGTCCAATTTAAATTTCACCTGTTCTGAGAAATCTCCTTACTCTCCAATTAGAATAAATTGCACTTTTCTTAAAAAGAGCTCCTTAGGTTTTTTTTAAAATCTTTGAAAACACCTAAGTTCTAATTTATATATTATTCTCTTTAAAATATTTCTTTTATTATTATTTGCATCTTTCAGGCTCAACAAAGGAACTTGCAAGTTTTAGGACACAACATAAGTCTTTGGAAAGATATATTGACCCATAGAGAGAACTTTGCATTGAATGATTTAAAATAACATGTTTTTAATAGAAAAATTCTAATGGATTTAAATTAAGACCTCTTATCAAATATGTAATTTGCAAATATCTTCTATTCAGTAAGTTGCTTAAAAATATGAAGGTCTAAAAATTAAACCCAAAAACTTAATTTAAAAGCATGTTTATGTTATGGATTTTGTACTTATAACCCATGCATATAGGGAAATTTTTAAAGCCTATATATTAAAAAAAAGGATTATACTTCTCAAATGCTTTGTAGTTGTTCATTAGCAATTTAATCATCTACTGGGAATAGACTATAATGCTGATCTAATTTTTTCTTAATGCAGTCATATAACTCGAAAGAACATTTGCTCATTAAAAACCCAGTGATACTGAAACACAGTGACATGCTTAAATTGATCTGTTTGTCTATTCTCTTAGTCTTTTCTATTATTCAATGAAGCCATTTGTAGATTTCATGCATTTGAAAATGTTAAAGCTTACTAGTATTAATACAAAAACATGTCCAATTAATAATTTAATTACTTGTGTGATATTTTACATCTGGCATCTGAGATTGATATATCTCCCCCCACCCTAATATATGATAAATTGTTTTAAAAATAGCACTCATCAAATACTCATAAAAGTTGTCCCTGTTATCCAATGCATTAAAATACTATTTTTTCTTTAGAGATCTTATCACTCATTTCTGATATATGTAAGAATGGCATTAAAAATGCAGGGCAACTTTGCAGTTTTGTTTTGTTAACTTTATAGGCACGTTTTGTAATGCCAGGGGTGGTCATCTGCTTTTTCCAGAGAACCCGGGGGCTTGTCACACACACTCTCTGTCTTTCAGCACCAGCACTTGTGTCCTTGGAATCTGCGGAAAGGCCAAACTTCTTTCTCTACGTCAACAAGGATGAGACGCTTAGTTTGAAACTGTGGCAGGTGAATTCGGCGTTTCATCGGAGAGCCACCTTTTTCCACCACCAAGGCCTGTGGATTCCTGGTTACAGTGCCTTTGAGTTATACAGCAAGAAAGGCTTTTTCATCACACTCACAGATTTTACTGTCAAAGCATCAAAATATGATGATTCGGAAGAATTTAAACATGCAAGTAGCTTCAGCATTGAAGGTGTGTTTCCTGAAGTCTTCAAAAGGAGAATAAATAGATAATTTACATAACAGCAGGTTTTAATTTCAAATCATTCTTAATGGAGTATATGTATATGGAAATGATAATGCCTACTTCACGGGGTTATTGTATGGGATAAGTTAATTGGTACATTGCCTACAACAGCCTTGAACATTGTGATTTTTAGTTATTGGCCCAATGATTACTTTCAGTGCTGTCTGGGCTTTGGAAATAGAGCTCACCCATGTGTCATGGATGTCTAGTGTTTGTATCTACTTTTTGTTCCCTAGAAGACAACTTCTTAATAACCTGAATCTTAATGATAAAGACACATGATTATCTCTGTCCTTGGAGCACTGGGGTGTTTGGTTCCATTGACCACTGGGAGGCTCCCCTGGTTCAGCGGGAACCTGATCTTACTTCTAGAGATCCTTAGAGTGCCATAGTCATGCATTTTCTGAGTTTCAGAGAGTTATCCTCACTGCCTCATTCCATATTTAATCTCACCCTTTATTTTCAAACCTAAGAGTTTACTATCTGTCTCGGTTCTCCCACACACACTCTTACAGTCAAACCACCCCTTGTCAGTCTGAGAAAACTAATCATTTGCCTTTTCTGTTGCGGATAAATTTCTGTATACCTGGATAGTCTTTAAATTTTAGATAATTCAAGTTGAGCTTCAAAAAAGGGTTTCTGTATTCACGAGAAAAAGAACCACAGACATGCCTATACAACATTCAATAGGGAGGATGTGATATTTTTCACATGAATTTACTTCAAGGTCAAAATTTTACAAACCTATATATCCCCTCCAATATAGAAATGTGGTCCCTTAGAATCAGACCCAGCAGTTCCACCTAATCTGTGGACAACTATAGCCAATGGCATCATCAAAATCTCAGAAATGGATCTCTGTGGACTTCCTAAATTTAATAAATGCTAGGGGTCTACTCTAATCTTGGAACCAATCCTCTCCCAGACCCATGATCCCAGCATGTCTAACATCATGCTAAACTTTATATGCATAGATATCTTCCCAAGAGTATTATTTTCCTTCCCATTTCGTGGAATTGAATTCTGCATCCAGAGACCAAGAAACAATCTGTTTCCTGAATGCTCTCTCTTATGGAGCTCTGCAGAGATAATTTTGGACTGCTGCAGTAGGAGAGGTCTATGATGTGGGGAAGGGAGAGTATTAGCAGAATTTACAGGAGAAAAATCTTTAATCAAGGGAGGTTTTATAACTGTAAGCATGAATTATTAAAATCCATTCTTTTTTTGTGTGTCAGATAATACTTACCATGTACAAGGTACTATGCTAAGTTCTGGGAGAAGAATAAACATGGAGTGTTCTCCCTAGGTTTGATGCCAGGCAACCGGTTTTTGGTCTTGCCATTTTCCAGTTCTTTGACCTTGGCAAGTTACTTGGCACCTCTGTGCCTCAACTTCTTATTAATACAATGGAAGTAATACCTATTCAACACGGTTGTTATAAGGATAAAATATAATGATAAAAAATTACTTGGTAAAAAATAAAATTCTGAACAAGTGTTTAATATTTTATCAAATGTAGATTGATAGGAACCGAATACACATAAAGAAAGGAAGAAGATTTAAAAATTTCCTAGGCCTCTTCCCACCTTGCTTTTTAAAATATTTGAAAGAGAGACTAACATTTAGATATGCAACCTGAATATGAGATGCTTTAATCGCCAACAATTACAATGCTTTACCTTAGCCCTGCCTTTCCCACAGCGTTAGTGGAAGAATTCCTGGGAGAATTACTATCACAAATCATCACTTTTCAAGCTGCACATAAAAAATATACATAAGCTAAGCTTTGTTTTTTCCACTAGAAATCCAGGCAGCAGTGCCTTACAGGAGGATGTGTGAATGGAGATACGAACCGTGCGCCATTCCCTGTTTTAAAACGTGTAGTGATCCTGAAGCGCTGGCATGCAAATTTCTCCCACCGTAAGTCATGTTTGAACACCCCATAACCTTGTTTTATTTCATACAAGTGATAGTAGTTAAGGGTTGGTTATGTGCCAGGAATTCTAGCTGCATCTGATATAGCAGTGAACAAAATAGATGAAATGTCTATTCTTATGTAGCTTAAATTTTGTTGGGGTAAGGCAGAGAATAAACAAATAAAAATGTAAATGTATAATGCAGTAGGTCATTAGGTGGCAATGTGTGTTATGGAAAAAAAAATTAAGGTGAGGGAGACAGAGTTCATGAGGCATGTGCATATTTGACACATATGGTCAGGGAAGAACGTACTCACAGGTCATAGATCTGAAGCAAGAGGGGCCTGGCCTTGTGGATACCTGGGAAGAGATCCTTTCAGTATGAGAACAGTACAAAGGTCCTGTACTAGGAATGTGTGGGGATTCATAAGGAGCCAGGCTAGCTGGAGCAAAGCGAATGAGAGTGAGAGAGGAAGGAAATGAGAGCAGAGAATCTGGTGGACAAGTAACTTAGGGCCGCGTAGCCTGTTGTGAGGACGTTGTCTTTTTTTAATTGAGTAATGCCCTGCTGTATTTTGGGCAGAAGACTTACATGATCTGACTTATTTATTATTATATTTTTTCTCTTCTTCTTCTTCTTCTTATTTTTTTAATTTATTGTTATTGATTTCAGAAAGAAAGGGAGAGGGAGAGAGAGAAATCTCAATGATGAGAGAGAATCATTGGTTGCTGCCTCCTGCCCATCTCTTACTGGGGATCGAGTGTGAAACCCAGGCAAGTGCCCTTGATCAGAATCGAACCTGGGACCCTTCAGTCCACAGGCCAATGCTCTATCCACTGAGCAAAACTGGCGAGAGCTTATTTTATTTTTTCCATCAGCACTTATCCCTGCTATGCCTCCTTCCACCTCCACTCTCTCCCCTCTCCCCTACAATCACTACACTCTTGCCCGTGTCCATGAGCTCACAGAAAGTTTGCTGAGGCTGTTGTAGTGAGAATAGACTATTGGGCAAAGGGAAAGACAAGAGCAGAACTGATCAGTAATACAAACAAGACATGAAAGGAAGTTGGTAGTCTTGGAGGTTCTGAGAAGTGGACAGATTCTGGATATATTTTGAATTTAGAGATACAGAGTTTGCTGATGGATTTAATGTCAATTATGAGAGAAGGAGGGGTTAAGGACTGAAGTTTTGGTCTCAGCAATTTTTAGGTGGAATAATATGAAACTGTCATTTCTGTAATTATAAATAATCAAAAATCAGCAAATTTGAATGATGTAATGTAATGGGAGGGCTCAATTGTCATTTACTGAAGTAAGGCAAAGAAAGGAAGAACAGCATTGAAGAGAAGTCAGGAATTTGGTTCTGAGGATTTAATTTAATTTAACTTTAAAAAAATATTTTTATTGATTTCAGAGAGGAAGGGAGAGAGAGATAGAAACTTCAATGATGAAAGCAGCTGCCTCCTGCACACAACCCAGGCACATAACCTGACTGGAAAACGAACCCTGACCTCTTAGTTCATAGGCTGATGCTTGAACACTGAGCCATGCCAGCTGGGCAGCTTCTGGGGATGTTAAAATGGAAACTGAAAATTGTTCTTTGGATTGGGCAACCCAGGGAAAAGGGAGAGGCAAAATGGAGACAGAGTGCCAATGGTTTTTGTGTTTGTTTGTTTTTTTAAGAGTTTTGCTATAAAGGAGAACAGAGAAATGGAACAATGGTAGGAGGGAATATTTTTTAAAGAATTAGTTTATATTAGACATTAATTGGCTTTTATTCTGTGACAAATATTGGCACTAGAAAAGTTCCTGGACATAATTCCTGAGACAGACCTGCTCTTTAAATGAGCTCAGTCTTTTGGAAGGAGCAAATCATGAAAGGGGCCTAGAATAAGGTGACCAGATTTTAACATTGGTAAAGCAGGACACCATTGATGGGGGGTGGAGGGGTAGGGGGGTGGTTCTTGATGAAAAATTTGGTCTATATGGAGCAACAAAAATTTTCATAGAATGCAAAAATAGTATTGTAATATATTTTTTAAAAATTTCAACATAAGTACAATTTACAAATATAATAAATAAATAAAAATTATGTATGGTCCTAAGTGTCACTTTCAAGGCCAGTGCTAGACTTTTTGCCGCCACTATAAAATATAAATAATATGAGTACTGTCTGCTAAATTCAAAAAAATTTATATATTTACAAAATAAAAAAATAAATTACTTACCTAAATTATCTGAATAGCTGATTTGTAATGACATCACTTGTTTAACTAGCTTAGTAGCACACACACAGTATGAGGTGTATCGTCTGAGAGACAGTTAGAAAATGTTTTCGTCGTTGCCAATCCCAAAAAATGCCATTGTTCATTAAGTCCAAACAAGGGTGGTTGAATTCTAACAACTGATCAACAATGCAAACTTTGATAAGCAGTTCTCGATAATCAGATCTCAACATTAGTTGTTATTATTAAAGTTTAACATTATAAAATTAACAAAAATAATAAAGAACTCATATCCTGGCTAAATAGCCACATGGCCGCCGAAAACCATATATTCCCTTCTTGTTCTCCTGCCGTTCCCTAGCTTGTGGTGCATTCTTTCAAAAAATCGGGACTTTTTTAAAAGCCGTGAGACACGGGACAAATTGTTAAAAATTGGGACTGTCCCATCAAAAGTGGGATGTCTGGTCACCTTAGCCTAGAAGAAGGACAGCTGGCTCATTAGGTTACTGACAGCATAATGCACTGTGCTATAATAAATGCTGTAAATGGTAATCTCATTATTCCTGTTGTCAGAGGAGATAGTCAGCTGAGACAAAGAAGTTAAACAAAGTGCTGGTCTAGGTCACATTTTGTAGGCAGTGGAGCCGGGGTTTAAACCACCACACCCTGTTGGGTATCTAGGTTTTGGTGGGGCAGAGAGAAAATTATATTTTTTGCTTATTTTCTTAAAATAAAAACAAAACAAAAAAAACACCAAAATAAAACCTCACCAAACAAGTTTTCTGAAAAGGAGAAGTCTTCAATCACTGGGACCCCTCACATTCATAGACCTATGTATGTCCTTGAAGCTATTAGGGCCTGGGGAAAAACATAGTGAGGAGTGCACTTGGAGAAGGAAGGAAAGAAAGAAGGAAGGAAAGGAGGGAGGGAGAGAGGGAGGGAGGGAGGGAGGGAGGAAGGGAGGGAGGGAGGGAGGGAGGAAGGGAGGGAGGGACCAAAGAAGGAAGACATGGAAGGAACACAGGGCAGGGTTGGCCCTGGTACTGGGAAGGGAATGAAGCAATATTTTGAAGTGGCATTTGACTAGTGTCTTAATTCTTATGCCACATAACCCATCTCTGAGGTGTGTGAATCCAGATCCTCAGTGCTTCCATTGTTATTCCAGAATTTCTCTTTTGGTATGGTTAGGTTGCAGAAAGAGTCTCAGAATGAAACTTCACCCCTGCTAAACTGTCTCTCATCTCTGCCTTTTTCTCTATCCCTCTCCCCCTTCCCATGCTGAGGAGCCAAATTATTTCTCCTCCTAATACTCTAAGCCCTGAGGGGAGACTCATGTACTGACCTGGGCTTCAACATGGCTTTGTACCTCTCCTCCATGTCTCCCACAGAATCACCACCTTTGTTCTTGATGATTGCAATTTATGGCACATATCAAGTGCTAAAAATATCCAGTGGAGATTATAACTTTTATGAGATAAGATACCAACTAGCATATCATTTAGGCCATATGTAAATATAGTTATTCCTATTTTGTAATATACCCATTAAAAGAACCATTATGGCCAAAACCGGTTTGGCTCAGTGGTAGAGCTTCGGCCTGCAGACTGAAAGGTCCGGGTTCGATTCCGGTCAAGGGCATGAACCTTGGTTGCGGGCTCATCCCCTGTGGGGGGTGTGCAAGAGGCAGCTGGTCGATGTTTCTCTCTCATCAACGTTTGTAGCTCTCTATCTTTCTCCCTTTCTCTCTGCAAAAAATCAATAAAATATATTTTTAAAAAAGAACCATTATGCACCAGAGATTTTCTATTTATCTGTCAGAAGTTGAATAGATTATCAATTGTATGACAAGATAAATAGGAACCTATCAGGAAAACATTTTGAAATAATAAGTTACTAGTTTGAGGAAAATATTTTAAGAGGAGTCCTTTGGTTTTGACTTGCATAAAACAATTGCAAAATAATTGAGTTTTATAAAAAATGATATTTATTTAACTTAATGAGAAGCAACCAACCCTTATCTTTTTAGCAATCTATAATAGTAACTTTAATTTTTCTTTTCATTTTTTTTTTTGACAAAGTGTAAAGTTGAATAGGAATATCATATACTGGGTAAAATTGAGTTATTCAAATTTTTATTTTATTTTATAAAATAAACAGCTAAACTGTTTATGTTTAAAAAAATCATTTTTGAAGGAGGCATCCAAGAGATAGCTAAATATGACTCATGTGAAAAGAGACATAGGCTATTCTTGGTTTTTACTGTTGTCTGGATTTCCTCCCAAGAACAAGTACCCTCTGGTGGCAGCACTAACCCTTAGTTTCAAGTTAGTTCATTTCCCTCCTGAAAATTAAAGAGGACTTGAGTATTTGTGATTCAAATTTCTTTGCTTTACATATGAGGCAATTAGACATATTTTAAAATGTTAAAACATTATTACAACCATCTAGTGAATATGAGAGGCAGATAAGCAAGATTTTTTATAATAATTTTTGCATTAATTCTCTCAAGCGTGGTTGAATCCAATGACTGGTTGTACACAAGATTGCATTTATTTCATTTGAATCAGAATAAATGGATTCTGAGCCCCAACAAGATGGGAAGCAATATGTAATCTCAGTTATCACCTTGGCTTTATTCCCTTAGTAAAAAGCATTCCGGATGGTTCCTCCTGTCTCTGGCCCAGGCTGCTCAAGCCCATGACTTCTCGAAGTCTGGGATCACTTGCTTTTATGCCATGCACAAAAACTGGGGAGCCTTATGAAGACCAATTAATCTGGGGCTTAAAATCAAGTCTTAAAAATAAAGAGACTCAGTGAAAACTGTATTTTTTATGAGAAAAGATACCAACTAACATACCATAGAGGCCATATGTAAATAGTTATTCCTATTTTGTAATATACTCATTAAAAGAACTGTTATGCATCAGAGATATTCTATTTATCTGTCAGAAGTTGAGTTTGATTCCCGGTCTCCATAGGCTCATTTAAAATCATCTCCTCTCACGCCACACTGCTAAAAATTTGGGCACAGGCCCTGATGCCCTTGAGAACTGTGGCCTCTACCCTTCCCCACCCTGTTTTCAAAGAAATGTCCCGCCTCCATGCCTTTCACCCAGAGATTCCTAATGTCTTTTCAGTGAGTTTAGGCAAGTCAAGCCACTGAGATTCTGTTTTTGTTCTATCAACATCGTTAAGGCAAGGATGGTTCAAAGACTATGCCTATCTGCTTGGATGAGTGGAGTTGCATGGGAATGGAAAGTACAATGAACAGCCTTGGCTTGTGTGTACTGTCCCATGCACCGAAAGGTTGCCAGTTCCATTCCTGGTCTGGATACATGGATGCGGGACAAGGGGCAACCAATTGATGTGTTTCTTTCATACATCAATGTTTCTCTCCTTACCCTCTTTCTTAAATCAGTAAAAAGAAAAGAAAGTATAATGAATGTAGTTTAAAATAACAATAAATGATTCTTCTGTATTTCTACTGATTTATAGAAAATGGCCTTAATGTGCCCAAACATAAATGTATGCTAAATGTTCTGGGTTCAAATTATGTTTTAATCATGAATGATACTTCTTTATGATCCACTAGCTTGTGATGGTGTAAAATGAGGAACGATGGAGTGGTAGCAAATAGGGCATTCCTTACTTCTTGACAAGAAGAATGGGAGAATTTTAGGAAAAATATTTCTTGATTGTATGGTATATTAACTGCAGTATAATTTATATGATAAACTTTTTTCATTTTGATTTTTTTAATGTAAAGGGTTGAAGGATGCTTGCCCTACTGCCCTAGACATATGATCCTTGATGAGATCACCCTCAAATGTGTTTATCCAGGAGACTGTAAGTGTTAACCCTATTTTCTTTATTCTGGAAAAGTAAAACACTTGAGCATATTTTTCTCTGTGATGGCAAGTGGTTGTGAACAGAAGTTTTATTTTATTTTAATTTTTCCCTCATTGACTCCCTCAGCCCACCCCTACCCCCCATCCCAGGCCTTCACCACCCTATTGTCTCTCTCCATGGATTATGCATATATACATACAAGGTCTTTGGTTGATTACCTCCCCATCCATCCTCCCCCACCTCCCCTCAGAGATTCCACACTTGTGAACAGAAGTCTTAGATGGACAATATACTTTCGTAAGATTCTTCTTCAATAGCCTTTGCATTGTCTTTTCATTTCTAATTATTTTTCAAAGCATGCAATTCTTCCCCCTAACACTTCTCCTGTGTTCTCTCTCCTCACACATTTTCCTTGAAGCTAAACTATGAACTATGCGGGCCTCACTTGAAACAGAACTAAGGAAAGTCTCTTTGTTTCTTTGTAGGCATACCTCTGATTCCCATGTCACCAGGTAAGCTATCGCTACCCATATGTACTGGTATTGGTACAACTGTAGACACTAGAATAGCATTGTGTAATTTAAGTCTTGGCACACTTACAACAATGGCTGGTGTTAATACTCTCCTATCCCCTGGAAAACCTAGCTGCCAGTTGTTTTGTTAAGTAGATGTTCACTGGGTCTGTGTAACACCATTTCTAAATGGCTTCTGTGTTTGGTCCACCTCTTTCCCCCCTCCAGTGAGTATAGATAACAAAGATTCCACGCACTTTTTTTTTTTTTTTTGCCTAGAATTTAGGTTTTACCAAATCCTACTTAAAATTTCACAGTGATTAGGTCGTCTTTAAAAATACGTTAATGCAAAGGACATCATCCTTTAATCACTTCTATTCCTGTTCCTGTGGTCTGTCCCAGCCTCTGGAGGGGGCATTCTGGGCCCACACTCTGGCTTCTCTCCCTCCCTATGAAATTTGCCTCAGAAAAGGATTGAATAAATCTACTCATAGCGAGGCTTGACAAACTTAATTTAGAGAAGCTCAGATATTTATTCTTCAATTTATTTGACAAGATTTAATCGAGGGTCAACTCTCCTAGGCAGTGTCCTGGCACTGGGGGAAGGGCAGGAGAGAGGTGATTAAGACACAGCCTCTACCCTAAAACCACTACTAGCCCATACGTCATTTTGATATTACCTTGGGGTAATACAAGCAGTAGGCAGGAGGCGTCTTGTACTAATTTTGAAGTATGGTCTCAGAAGGTAGGAGTTGGATAGACTAGGAGGTAGAGGAAGTGTATGTCCAGCTAGAAGGGAAAGCCTGTGCAAAAGCCTGTAACTGAGAGAGACCAGAACACACAGAGGAACTTGCCAACCTAACAACAGGCCTTTCAAAGTGAGAGGCAACAAGAAATGTATTGAGATAAACAAGAATAGTCATTCCGGATGCACTGATTCAGACAGAGGCCCAAATAGTGTCTAACTTGGAGACAAAGGCAATTGGGATTTATGAGAAAGGGCAGGGAAACAACTGCATCAATAGAAGGAAGGCATTTCTATCGGTGCAGATAACAACATAGTGATGTTAATTCTAAACAATGTTTTTAACTTTCAGTCCAGTAGTCATCAGTCCAGGAGTTGCCACTGCTTTTTTGTTATCTTTGCAAACAGTTTTTTTGGAACATAATGTTGCCCTAGGTTCAATCCAAAGGTTATTTGCCCAGTTGCAACACTCTGAAGATATGAGACATAAGATGTGCAAGGCAGTTCTTCTGGCCTGGCCGCTTCTGCTACGGTTTTAAAGTGCCTCCGGGTATATTATTGTTTACAAATTTCAAGCAGGTCGATGCATCTTGAGCATGTAGTGCGAGGGGAATTGAGCTGAGGGATGCGATGGCACTGATGATCAGGGCCAGATCACAGAGTCCCTCCTAAGAAATTTGGATTTTTTTCTTCTTCTAGAGACAATGGCAATTACTGAAAATTTTAATGAGTCCTGGGACATCTTCAAAATAATAATCACAGTACTACGATCACTACTATTCTCATTAGCTACCATTTATTGAGTACTAATTACATACCAGGCGTTGGACTAAGTTCTTTGCATACATTTAATCCTTATAAGAACTCTATGAAAGAGGTATTGTTATTATTATATGAAATGCCAGTTAAAAGCCAGGGCTCTGGAATAAAAATCTCTGAGTTTGAATTCCGTCTCCAACATTTACCAGCTTATCTCGCTGCACCTCAGTTTCCTTCTCTGTAAAATGACAAGAGTATTGTCACCTATGTCACAGGGTTCTTGTGGGAATAAATGAAATAATCTATATACTATAGCAGAGTCTCTGCCACATATGAATTCCATACATAATGGCTATTATTCCACTAACGGAGAGGGCATCTTCATTTCTAACAGGTCCAGAAACGGTTTCTCCACCGGAAGTCCCTGTGTCCGACATGCTCACACCCACCCCAGGTTTGCTATGTGAGGTAAGAAAGAGCAATCTCTTTACCTATTGTGTCCTTTTCTTGTAGCATGTGTTCACGTGTCTGTATCATTATCCAATTGCTATTAAACTTTTCAGTGTGATCGCTAGTCTTTCTTTGCTAAAAGATAATAAGAAATATGCATTACCATTTTAACAATTATATATTTTTAAAATGGACCCAGATATTTCTTATTAATTAGGCCTGGTCACACTAAAAAATATAAAATTCAAATGGGGACTTAAGTGTGATTCTTTAATAAATAGCTATCTAGTGTGGGCTTCTCTGTAAGTTATGCATTCAAAAAATATTTATTAAGTAGCTACTATGTGCCAGACATTGTGTAAGATGACAAAGATACAATGGTAGACAAAGCAAGATAAGGTTATTGAATCCAGAGCTTGTAATTTTCTGGGCTGAGATGTGAGCACTTATATCTTTACTCCAAATATGCCATTTGTTCTAATAAAGTAATTACTTATTCAAACATTATTATTTCTGGCCACCCTCTATTAAGATACCATGGATACAACAATATAAAAGCAGGCAAAAATTTCTGTGTTTATAAAGTTTACATTTTATTGGAGGTTTGGAGATAATCAATGAGCAAAATACATTCCTGAGTCATAAAAAATGTTAGAGGGTGCTGCTCAGCAGAAAAATAAAGCTATTTTTAGTGATATGGTCAAAAGTTCTCACTAATGAGGTGATTTATATATATAAAAGGCTAAGTGTCCATCCTTCCCTCTTACTGGTAGCTATGACACACACTGACCACCAGGGGGCAGATGCTCAACACAGGAGCTGCCAAGCTGCACTGACTTGGCAACTGTGGTTCTCCGGTGACACACCTGGCACTAGAGAGGAGGAAGCCCAATTCCACAGTGCCTCACCTGAGAATTGCCCTCTCACAGTCTGGGACCCCTCAGGGATGTTGGAGAGACAGTTTACACCTAATCGCCACAGGCCCAACCAAGAGACCCCACCAGTGCACAAATCCATGCCTGGGACCTCTAGTTTCATAGTAAAAGATTGAAGAAGTTGAGACAGTGAGCCATGTAGAGAACCAGATAGTGTTCCAGGCAAGTGCAAAGGCCTTGAGGTGAGGGAACACCTGAAATATTTAAAAACAAACAAACAAAAAACACACAAAGAAAACCTAACAACAAGGCTATTAAGTAAGGAAGTAATACAATAGCAGTAAGTAAATTAGATTATGTAAGGCCTTGTAGATGATTATAAATGACAGGATATCACATAGGATATTTTTGAGCAGGGGTATTACCTGAGATAATTTGTTCCAGGATTATGTTAGCTGCTGTGTTGAGAGCAGGGTAAAAAGAGACAATAGAATAAGTTAGGAGGCTATTGCAGGAATTTAGGCAAAAGACAATGGTGGCCGAGACCAGGTGACAGCAGTGGAGATGATGGGAAATGCCTGGACTTATTTATTTATTAAGTAAGTAAGTAAATAATTTATTTATTTATTTATTTATTTATTTATTTATTTATTTATTTATTCATGTATTTATTTTATTGATTTTTTTACAGAGGGGAAGAGAGAGTTAGAAACATCGATGAGAGATGAGAAAGAATTATTGATCAGCTGCCTCTTGCACACCCACTACTGGGGATGTGCCTGCAACCAAAGTAGATACCCTTGACCAGAATCGAACTCTGGACCTTTCAGTCCTCAGGCTGACGATCTATCCACTGAGCCAAACCGGTTTTGGCAATATATATTTTGAAAATAGAAGCTACAGAATTTGCTGAAAGATTAGATGTGAGGTGTGAGTGAAAGAGAAGTATCAATGAATCTACAATTTTTGCGTTGAGCAACTGAAGTGTAAAGTTGACATTAATTAGGATGGTGAAATTATGGGAAATAAAGGTCATGATTGGTTATAACCAAGAGTTCACTTTTGCCGTATAAAGGTTGAGATTCCTTTTAGATATAAAAAATCTGAGGATTTACAGGTAGGCTAAACTTAAAGTTTACAAACTCAGAGGGTTATTGTTGTAGAACTGAAATGGGTTAATTTGAACAATGGGGAGCATAATAAGTGGTATGTTTATCATTGCTATAATTATTACCATGATTTAAATAGAATGTAATTAATAAACTGAAAAATGCACCACTTATTTAACTCTTGTTTGTCTAGAAGTCTGTGAGCTATGTATAAAAGTTAATTTATAATGATTCTACCCAACAGTCAAATTGACATCATATATGAAATTTTAATGAAATATTAAGATATAATTAAGTTGTAATTTAAAAAAAATTACACTAACAGAGATTAGATTCAGTACTAACTTTATACAATGTAATATGACAGGTTGAGAGCCACTGTATAAGTCTGCTTGCAAAACACTAAGCTACATAAATTAGGATAAGACTTCAATTTTCTCAGATTTCTGAGTACATGGGCAATTCTGATATCAAGTCAATATTGAGATAAAGCGGAAATAAAATGTCCATACTGAGTATTTTAGAAAGGTTACATCAACAAAAAGTTGAAGTAAAATTTTAACTATTCATCTTTCAAAGGCTGTCATATGTAGGCAATATACACTAAAAGCAATGTGAATGGAACATTTAAAAAATATATGCAATGAAATATTACTCAGCAATTAAAAAGGAATGAAATCTTGACTTTTGTGACAACATGAATGGACTAGAAGAGTATTATGCTAAGTGAAATAAGTCAAACAGAGAAAGACAAATACCATATGATTGTACTTATATGTGGAATATAAAAATACAAAATAAAAAAACAAGTGAATAACAAAAAAAAATAGAACTGAACCATAGATACAAAGAACAAACAGAGGGTTGCCTAAAGGGGATAAAGGCAAAAAAATCTATACTAATAAAAGAGTAATATGCTAATTGGACTGGGTCAACCAGCCATCTTCCAGATGTTCAACTTCCTTCTGGACAAAGCCATGGTGGTGGGGGTCAAGGCAGAGGCAGTTAGGGGTGATAAGGCCAGCAGGGAAGAGCAGTTAAGGGTGAGATAAGGCTGGCAGGGGGTTAGGGGTGATCAGGCAGGCAGGGGAGGGCAGTTGAGGGCAATCTGGCCCATAAGGGAGGGCAGTGGGGGTGACCAGGCCAGCAGAGGAGAGCAGTTGGGTGTGACCAGGCTGGCAGGGAAGGGCAGTTGGTGGTGACTAGGCTGGCAGGGAAGCATGGTTGGCAGTGACCAGGCCAGCAGAGGAGGCCTGTTGGGGGCATTAGACAGGTATGCAGGTGAGTGATTAGGAGCCAATGATCCTGGATTGCAAGGGGGATGTTCGACTGCCAATTGAGGCCGGATCCCTGTGGACATTCCCCAAGGGGTGCCGGATTGGAGAGGGTGCAGGCCAGGATGAGGGACAACTCCCCTTCCCATGCAAGAATTTCATGCACCTGGCCTCTAGTTTAAAAATAATTGAAAACATAAGTTGAAAATGGGGGGAAAATCACCAATTTTCTTTCTTTCTTTCTTTTTTACAACAGCCTCAACAATTTGATCCTGTCTATAATTGCAGCCAATATATATGCATTAATAAGGAATGGCAGTTGTACAACTGGTCTCTCAATTGCCCAAAGGACTTGGAAATGCCTGACTGTGGTTTCCGGGGAAGGCCTGTTCAAGTGAACACTGATATCTGCTGCCCTGAGTGGGAATGTCCTTGTGGGTTTGCATTTTTTACATGATTATCAATTTTTAATCAGGAGGAGGTTGTAATTCTTTGAGCCAATCAACTCATCAAGCCAAAGTTATTATTGAGCATTCTTCATTTGATTTATGATTTTGGTTACCAGTATGTAACCTTTAGATTTGCTTTTTGTCAAACATGATAAAACTAATTTAAAGCAATTGTCACTACAAATACAAATAATTAGTAACTAAAGAAAATCGACTCTCCAACATTTTATTTTTTTAGGTCGGTGTTCCATGTTGTCAGAATTGAGCATTATTACATTTGATGGAAACAATGCAGCACTATATAGTATGGCTTCTTATATCTTAGTACGAATTCCTGGGGAAATTATAGTTGCTCATATTGAAAAATGCTCCATGAATCAAGTAAGTTCCATTATTTTTTTCTTCCCACATAGATTTTATTAGTAAATAGTTCAATAGTTCTCATAACCAATGAGATGTACTAAGTGAGAAGTACAAAGGTAATACTGAGCAGATGGAATTATTAACATGATGATAATAATTTAGAAAAATTTGTTAATCTATATTGAAAAGAAGAATAATCAAATGAGATCATTGCACATTTATATATTCTAGCTCTTAAGATCTGAATGAAATTTATTTTTTTGTTATTATTTATAGTATTACATATGTCTCCTTTTCCTCTATTGACTTCTCCCTTAAGTTCCATTCCTTTGTTCTTTCTTCATAAATCTCCAGCTAGAGAATGTTGCAACAGTATTCTTACTCTAAGGTATCTTAGAGTAAGGAGGGGCACAAGAACTCACTGACATTTATCTTCTAGTACTTAAAAGAAAAAAAATGTTTCATGTTAACATAGTTAGAGGCATATAATAGTAATCTAAAAATGTTTTTAAAAGTCAAGTAATATTTTTCTTTTAAAAATGTTTTCTCTTTATGCTTTTTTCTTTTCAGAATGAGGACTCCTTTCAAAAGGTAGTATTTCTAAAGTGTTTAGTAAATTACTTCTGTTTATTGCAAAAAATTGTGTTTAGCAACTTTACAAAAGTTTTTTTTTTCCTTTCCCCCCCAAAATAAGGCTTCTTCAGAAAGAATCTCTGGACTTTGTTTTAAAAGGTTAAATTTGACAACATCTATACACAAAATACTTGTCTATCGGGCAGCAAGAAAGGTAAGAATACAAAGCTTAAAAATATCCTTGCCTTGGATAAAATTAAGAAATTATATAAATACAATTTTTTCCAAAAAAAAGGAAAATTAAACATATCAGTGGAGTTTTATTGCTATTATGTCTAATCATTCTTTTCAATGGGCAGCCTAAAAATGTTTCTTAGTATTACATTCCTCTTTCTTTAATGTGCCAACTGTTGCAAGTATTTCTCTCCTTGTGAGGTTAGCTGCAACAGCCATGTGAAATGTGCTAAAGCCTTCTTGGATAAGGTAAGAGGCCATTCTTCTTAGTGTCAGAGTTAACCTTCATGTTCCAAATTAAACACAATGGAAATGATGTGAAGGGGGGGATTATAACGTTGAAAAGAGTAGTAGCCATGAATATCAGCATGAAGACCACCAAAAGAATAAATGGAAGCAGTAGTTTTGAAATGTTGATGCCATGACTTTGTCAGTGAATTAAGTGATAACCAAAATAAGAAAAAATAAAGGGATAGTTAACTTTATTGAAATATACTAAAGAAGGGCAAGATATATAAACATTGGAAAAGATCTATTTAGTTTTAGAGGGAAAAATGTTTAAAAAGGCTTTATAATATAATATAAAAAGGCATTATAATATAAAAAGGAATATATTTATCAGTTAGGAGTGAGTTATAAGCCAGATGTCTCACTCAGATATAAATGGCTCTCTCAAAAATATAAGAAAATAATGTGTAAAATATATTTTTGCTTGAAATAACTGAGGCTTTATAGGCTTTCTGAAAGCAGTTCCATTAACATAGGAACAGTCTCTAGATTAGGAACAATAATAAAATAACCCTTCAAAGAACTTATATTCTTATTTGCATAGCCCATGGTCATGGGCAAGAGGATAGTGAAGACCTGGGGTGGGTGGGTAGAGGCTGGGAGAAGGAGGGGCAAGGGAATGGGAGATATCTATAATACTATCAACAATAAAAATATATTAAAATAAATAAAATAATCCTAAATTAGCAAGGTGCTAAATTTTAAGTAAAATTTTAAAAATATATGAATGCGGTCCTTTTGAATGATTGTATAATATTTATATATACCTTTGATTTTTATGAGGTTGATATATTTACAGGAATTGAATGAGAAGTGAACTCAAACCTGGTGTGCTATTATTGTAAGCATTTGGGCAGATGGGTTTATTTTTGGCCTCAGCTGAACTTGTCACAGGTCATATATTTAGTTAAAAACTAATGAATTTTAAAAATTCATTTAGTGTGCATAAACATGATAAAAACAACACAGGTCCTGATCTCAAGTTACTTGTCTTTGTGTGTGGGAGGCATGAATGTAATTATCTGCCAATTATAAAGTAGTAGGAGGTATAATGACAGAGTTATGACCAAGACATTATGGAAACAAAAGGAAGGGTCATTTACTGCAGTTTGTAGGAGTGACAAGTAAGTAATTTTGGAAGTGACACCTAAAATCAATCTTAAAGAATGAGTAGAAATTAACAGGCAAGTGGAGAAATGTTTTAGCTCAAGGGTGACAGTATGAGGAAGCTATAAAAATGAGAAATTAGGTTGTTGGTCAGGTATAAACTTCGACAAATTTACTGCTGGCTGCAGTTCATGCTTCCATATCATTGCCATTATTTAAAGCACTGTTTTTCAAAGTATTATTTTTGGAGTGCCTACATTTGTATTACCAGGAGTACATGATAAAAATTCAGTCAGAAATCCCACCCAAACCTAGGAACCAGAATCCCCAGGAATTCCGATCTTTACTAACAGTGGCAGATGACTGTAATAAATATTATAGTTAAGCACTAATTTAGAAAGACCATAGGAAGAACCAGTTTAAAGAAAATATCCTGAAAGTAACTTTATTAGCTTATATTCCTATTAGTAGGTAATGGTGTAATCAACATATACTGAGGGAAATAGACAGAAAGCTTAAATAACAGGAAAAAAAAAATAAAGGTTTTTTTTGTGTGTGTGTTTTTGTTGTTTCTGTGAGAGACACATCAATTGGTTGCCTCCTGCATGAACCTTGACCAGGGCCCTGGCCGGGGAGGAGCCTGCAACAGAAGTATGTGCCCTTGACCAGAATCAAACCGGGACACTTTGGTCCATAGGCTGATGCTCTATCCACTGAGCCAAACTGGCCAGGGAAAAGGTTAAGTTTTGAAGAAAATAAAGGGCAATGAGGTTAAAACAAATATGGAATACAGCAAGACACAGCAAAGAAACAATAAAAGAGCTTTGAAGTTATGAGACACTTTGGCAGCAACAGGGAAATAAATTTTTAAAAAACTTAAAATATAGTTGATATTAAATAGGAAGAAGTGGAATAATCTGAATTCTCTTAATTTTAATAAATGCATATTATTTAATTAATTAATTAATTTAATTCCCCCCCCCATTGATTTTTGAGAGAGACACATACACACACATGTTGATATGAGAACGAAACATCAATCACCTACCTCCTGTACACCCCCTATTGGGGTTTGAGCCACAACCTGAGCATGTGCCCTGCCCAAGAATCAAACCAGTAACATTTAGTGCATGGGACAATATCAAACCAACTTAGCCATACTGGCCATGGCTAATTGATGTATATTTAAACATAAAAATTTTACTAACAGATGTAAACGCATTATGTAATTACAGGTAGAAGTGGATTCTATTGTTGTGCCTTTGCCCTTTTCAAATCAAGAACTGATGATAGAGGATTCTGGTAATATGTATGTGATTACTACTCCAGCTGGACTAATCATAAAATGGGCTCATCTTACAGGAATCTTAGACATTCATTTTGGTTTTCAATTTAACTTATCATCCTCAACAGAAGGACTTTGTGGTGAGTATTGCCCTTCAAAACTCAATTTCTTCTAACTTTTCTCTCCTGTTCACTTTACACTGTTTTGGCACCTATTGCCAGATCTTTTTGATTCCAAATGTGGTATTAACTTTTAGTGACCTATGTGAATATTGAAGGAAATAATGGTTTCTAATGAATGGATTAAGAAGCAAAGGATAACAGTTCAATGTGGGTATTTTATGGAGCTATAAGCTCACTATTAATATATTATTGCTTATATTCCTACTAGCTCATCCTTATTAAGCATTAATGAAGTGTCAGGCATTACTTTACTTATTTCAACTAATTTAATTATAACTATAGTCCTATAAATAGGCACTAGCATTAATTTGTAAGTGACAAAAATGAGGCATAAAAAGGTTAAAAGTAAAATTTTATTTTATAGTATAAAGCCTAGATGTACCTTTACAGCTCAATTTAATATCATAATACAGGGAGGGACAAAAGTAGGCTTATATTTGCTCACATGGAATATAATAAATAATTAATAAAGAATACTACAAGAATGTTATTTCATGTACTTACAACTATAAACCTACTTTTGCCCACCCTGTATATTACATAGATACAAAGAGTTTCAAGCCAAAGAAAGCAAATTAGAAATATAAAATGAATAATGCTGGTCCTGGTTTCTGCTGGTAAGTTAAGCAGTGCTATCCCTTTACAGTTCTGCTCAACATCAGTGTCCTCACATTTATTTTTTAAAATATATTTTATTGATTTTTTTACAGAGAGGAAGGGAGAGGGAGAAAGAGAAATATCAATCAGCTGCCTCCTGCACACCCCTTACTGGGGATGTGCCTGCAATCAAGGTACATGCCTTTGACCGGAACCAACCCTGGGACCCTTGAGTCTGCAGGCTGACGCTCTATCCACTGAGCCAAACCGGTCAGGGCAGTTTCTTCACTTTTCAAATAAGAATAGTAATATATACCTTCAAGATTGTTGCTAGAATTGTATGTGAAAGTGATTGTAAAAACACAACATATTGCTTAATACACACAGTCAACAAATGTTAGTACAAATATATCTACTTTAATCTCTCTAAATGTAAATTGAATAAAAGCTTATGGACTACCTTCTGAGTTTCTGACACTATTCTTGGTGTTGACAACTTGAAATAAATAGACTAAATCTTGCCCACACAAATTATACAAAATACCCATTTTCTTCTTTTAAAATGTAAAGCATTTAGTGGAAAGATTGGCTAATTGATTTGCATATTTCCTTGCTTATTTAGAGTATGTTATACATAGCATAAACTTCTTTGGTGACTAAAAGATTTTATTGTGGAAATAATTATTAATGAGTATATAGTATTGATTACAAACAACTCAATAGCTATTACTGAGTAATAACTCAGAGACTTTGAATATGTATACTTTCTACTATGATTGATAATTTTTGTGTGCTATGATTTCTATTTGATTTTTGAGATTTCCCCCCCTCTACTGCAGTTCATGCATTTGTGAAGACAGTCATTCTATTTGGATTCTTAACTAATCACTACAGAGAAAAGGCTAAGATCTCATGTTTGCTACCTAGGGTCAGCCCCTAAGCTTCCTGACCTCCGCAATGGGGTTGGATTGAAGGGAAATATGTGCACTTGGGATCCCTAGGTTGGGTGCCGGCTGATAAAGTTGCAGTGAACAAGAGGGTGGCCCAAGTTGAGCATGGACACTAGGATAGCAGGTCTATATTGACACCTCGTTTTACATAGCACTGTAAAGTCTGTGGGGGTACCAGTTGAAGTTGCAATGGAAACTATTTTTACTAGCAATTACCTATCTTTAGAAGAGTTTAGGTTATAAAATATCGAATAGAAGCTGCTTGATAGTATAGTTCACTTGAGCTTTTGTGCTCTTTTTTTTTGCACTGTACTCAGTTCTCTGCTTATTTACAAGGGTCAGGGCAACCATGGTAACAGCAACCTTTATTGATAATGATAGAAGATTTGATCCCGGGAAAAATGTTTAACTCATTTCTTTTATAGCTGGGAGCCTTAGGAATTAAGAAAAAATACTAGTATGTCTTCAAATAGGGTGGGATACAGGTAAGTTATGGTCGGGGTTATGGATCCATTTCTCTGTACTTCCCTTGTCTCTGCACTCCACTGGGTGAAGAGTAAGCTCCATCCTCAGTCTGGCTGTAGCAAGTTAATGCGTGGTAGCCATCTAAGGGCATGTTATCTCAAAAAAGGGAGATTGTCTATGTCCTACAACAGTGGTTGACCAACTCATTAGTCAACAGAGTCAAATATCAACAGTACAACAATTGACATTTCTTTTGAGAGCCAAATTTTTTAAACTTAAACTTCTTCGAAGGCTACCTCTTCAAAATAGACTCACCCAGGCCATGGTATTTTGTGAAAGAGCCACACTCAAGGGGCCAAAGAACCACAATTTGCTGACCACTGTCCTAGAATATCTAGGTCAAATTCTTAGCCTGGCAATGGTTGTCCTAATGTTGGACAAATCTCTGTGTCTGGTGACTGCCATGAGCTGACTCGTTATGCCTGGATTGCTGGTAACAGTTTTTAATAAAAGGTGTGCAATTCAGGCCCATCTCCTGAAGGGTGTCATGCACGAGCTGATGAGGCAGGGATGATTCCTGAACAGGATCATTTTATGTTTTCAGGCAAGGTTTTCTTGGGGGAGTGGATGCCTGAAGTCAATCACCAGATAACCACGATTATGGGAGATATCTGACAGATTTACGACCTTGTTTTTAAATTAGGAGATAGTACTAATAGTGGAAGAGCATAAGCACAGAACCATTTTCCTCTTCCTTTACTTTCTATGATCCTTTCATATATCTTGACTTCTAGGATCATTAACCTTTATCAACTATTAAGATGATTTAATTCTGCTGCCTACATTCGGTTTAACTGAAAAAATTTTCCTTCTAAATGTCACATATCTTCCTAGGAATTTGCAATGATGATCCAGATGATGATCTAAGGATGCAAAATGGAACAATTATTACAAATATGGAAGACATAGAATTATTTATTGAGAGCTGGGAAATTGAGAAGTCATTTAAAGTAATGACAAGAAGACCTGTTAGAAACTGCACTGAGTATGACTGCAGTCACTGCATTGAATTATTAAATAGAAAAGTTTTTGTTCCATGCCACCATAAAGTAAGTTGAAAGTGACCATCAGTAAGAGCTGTCTTGTTAGACATGTGGAAAGGAAACCCAGAAAAGTCCTATTCTCGCCATGATGTTCTTCTACTAAGAATAGTTTATCCCCAAACCTTCTGTCAGTTTGCTTTGGAATTCAGAATCATTTGTTGTTTATAGTTTTTGGAGAGGAAGGATAATTACTCTTTTTTCTCCCTATTTTTATTTCAGAACTATGTCAGCAGCTTTCCAGAAAAATGAAATTCCATTTTATGAATAAATGCCACTAGGAGAAAGAGATCAATGTCACTAATAATCCAGAATAGAAACCACGACAGTGAGGGTTTAATCAATTTCTTATGAACTTGGCCTCTGAGGGGTATACTTATAATAGAACCGTCACATATTTAATTTTCTTTATTAGTATCTAACTTTCTGACTTTAGGTGACTTGCAAATATTTTAATATAACTTGTATATTTTAAAAGATCCATTATTAGAAACAAAGAGCAGACAAATGTAACATTTCATGAATCAAAGCAAAGGGTGTGAAGTCAGGGACAAAAAATCACACATTTCTGGAGCTTCACTTCTACTTAGAGATTTGGACACAAATAAGTTTTAAAAGTTTACCTTTTCCAGTGCATACACACAAAAATGAATACCTAGCAAATACTTTGAAACTGATTTCAGTGTCATTTTTATGCCTTTTAGAAGCATAATGTGTTTTGAAAATAGAATTTTTAACAGGGAACCTGGAGGGTTGATGAAATCAGGAGACTTTTCAGCTGACCTTTCAGGGCCCTTTAGTCTGGGATAGCCTCCACTTTTCCCTTAGGATCTTCCCGGTGAGTTTGAAGGCAAAAGAAAGGAATGCTCATAATTTGGTTTCCCTACTTCTAATCTTCATCCATTTTTGCAAATTACCATGAAAGGAGGCAGATGGTCTTTACTCTTCTTTCTTCTTTCAACACTTTTAATATTTTAGGGTGTTTTCCATCCATAGGTTTTTATGCTTTCCTCTTTCAATCTATTTTTAACATGTTGACTCCTCTTGTTCACTAACAGGTTTACTTAAACTGAGATCCACAAGGCAGAGAAGAGATCCATTTTATTCACCTTTATATTCCTCATGCATAACATAGTGTCTGATATGGAATCAGGTGCTCAATAAATTATGGAAGTATGCATAGATGAATAGATGAATGCAGGCTACAAGAGAAACAGCTTTTTTTGGGGGGGTTAAATGGAGAAGGGTATCATTTTTAATTTTGAGTAAGTTAACTCATGTGGGACTTCAAAGCAAAAATAGCCACAAAACAACTTAGAAACACAATTCTGGAGTTCAGAGGAGACAATCTGAGGTCAGAGAACAGGATTGGGAAGTTATTAATACAGACATTTTAAAAAAATCATAATTACTGATATACCAGAGACTGTTCTATAAACTTCACATATATTAACTCACAGCAATCATAAACAGTAATAAGCTTGTTATTGACTACTTGACTTACAAATAAATCAATGCAAAGACTTTAACACCCAGAAGGTGGTAGAAAATTAAAATGGATGAGCCCAAGAAGAGCCATTGCAATGAATAACATGACCAGTGGAGCTGGAATTTAGGGAAACACTCCGAATGAGAGGCGGAAGAGAAAACGATGAGCAGGTGCAAGGCAATAGAGTTCTGCACCCTCGAAGGAAACAGAGGGTTCTAAGAAGCAGGAAGGGTTCGTGGCATCACAGCCCTCTGAGAAAGTTAGGGAAAGTTCAGAATATTAGTGTTCCTAGTATTTGACAATTAGGAGGCCCTGATGACACAAGAATTCTGTGCAAAGTAGTTGGAAACTGAGGGGAGGCAACAAAGGAGATTAAAGAGGAAGTGGAATCTTGCTTTGTGTAGATATGAACCTTGAAGAAGAAATGATGGGATATGAAAAATATTAAGCATTAAGCATTTGACCTATGTCAGAATTTAGCATCTGAATGTAGATACTTGGGGGTGGGGGTCTGGATAAGATGGCGGCAGAGTAGGTGAAAGTTACGCTCACTCCCTGCCAGGTCCGAACTGCACTTACAACTAAATTATAGAACAGCCAACCTGAATGTCTATGCTTAATATATTTGCTGAATGAATGAATAGAGAGTTGGAATAAGGATCTTAAAAGTTAAATTATTTAGATTTCAGGCATCTCTAGAACAAAATGAAACAATCTGTAAAGAAAAATGGGTCCCTAATTGCACTGAGATATGAAAAATTAAAGAAATTATTTGAGCAACGTATATACACACACACACACACACACACACACACACACACACACACACATTTTAAATCCTCACTGAGGACATATTATTCATTGATTTTAGAGAGAGGAAGTGAGAAAGAAAGAGAGGAGAGACAGTAAGAAAGAGAGAGTTGTGAGAAACATAGATCAATTGCCTCCCGAATGCACCTTGACTGGGGATTGAACCCACAACCTGGGATGTGCTCTGACTGGAAATGGAACCTGCCACCTTTCAGTGGTGTATGGGAGGAAGTTCCTGCCATTGAGCCACACTGGCCAGGGCTGTGCATATTTTCTTAAGCATTTATAATCTCATTTAGAGAGCAATGTCATGTATCATTATGGAAAGCTTTAGGAGCTTTAATTTTACTTTTAATAGATCAAAGTCTTACTCAATACATAGAAAAGACAATTGCAACCTAAACTGTGATATCAGAAATGGCTTTTGCTAGAGCCACATACTCTGCTTCTTTTCCGCCCTTTTTTAGAAATTGATTTTCATTAGAGTTGACATGCAATACTATACTAGTCTCAGATGTACAACATAGTGATTAGACATTTATATAACTTACAAAGTGTTCACCACTATAAACCTTAGGCTAAATACCCAAAAGTGGGATTCTTTATAAGATTAGATTTATGTAGATTAGAGCAGACAGTACTTAAATTATCTAAATGTTGTAAATTCAGAGGTGACATCTCATACTGTGAAGTTTTGAAAATGTAAGGTCAAAGAACCATAATGCACATTCACTTGCTACTCTTTGATTTTCCAAATAGTTTTAGTCTAGCTTAGGGCATTATGGAGCTATAAGCTCACTATTAATATATTATTGCTTAGAGAAATAAAATAATATAACTTATCCAAAGGCAAAACGTATTTCTAGGTTTCACCACAGAACTTTTGTGAAAAGATGTGGATCAATTATACCAATCATTGGAACCATGAATGTGATGCACCGTCTGCGTATGTGGCTCTGTGCAACAATTTTGACATCTGTATTCAGTGGAGGACACCTGATTACTGCCGTAAGTAGTACACTGGTAATCATAGTTTAACAGCCAAGTAAATTTCTATTTTTTTGCATTTATTTCTTTTTCATCACAAAATAATTTCATAAGAATAGCTTTATATCAATCTAACCTAGAAGCAGGAGGCAAGCTTTCCTACATAGGCAACTTCTATTTTTATCTTGATCTAAATTTAAAGTAAACCTCAATTACCATAAAAGAAAGTCTAGCCCAGCAAAGTAAACTGAAGAGTTAAAGAAGTCATAGAGGATTGAAGAGAGACTTTAATTCTGTATTTTACAACACGTTTTGTCCATCCTATTTAACCTACTTCATTCCCCCTCACTTGTTCTTATTCACTTATTATGTGGAGAGGATGGGGATTTTGGCATCCTTTCCCCCTTTCCTGACATAATATCCCCTTCCAAGAAATCAATATTTTTAGCTTCTTTGATATCTACATTCAATATTCTCCCAATTACAAAGTAGTATTTCCTTTTTCCTTTGTATGCATTCTTTGTCCATTTTTATCTATAGGGTTCATGCTTTCCCATCAAGTAATAATGTTTTTCATAAAACATTTATAAAACACTTCACCAATTCTGAGCCGATCTTACAGAAATATCAATTTAAGAAAAAGGATTAAATGGTAGGTAAAAGATTTTCAAAATGAATGTTACTCAAATGCTCCAAAATAAAAGTGTTTTCCTAGGGGAAAAAGAATAAAATGCATAGCGAAAGAATAATATATCACAAACACCACCTATATGATTCCACATCAGAAATGAAGTGACTCTTCCTGTGCCCTTCTATCTCCTTCATCTCCCTGCCCTCCCAGATGTCATCACTACTCAAGAGTGGGAGGCCTGTTCACAGGGAATGTATGACCTCACCAATTTTTCCAAGCTATTGCCAAATTTTTCTCCATTGAGATTTTACCAGGTTGCACACCCACCAGCTCTGTGCTCATTTTTTTCTTATTTTTTAGAGAGAGAGGAAGGGAGAGGGATAGAAACATTAAAGAGATAGGGACATCATTGATCAGCTGCCTCCTGCACACCCCACACTAGGATGGAGCCCCAAACCGGCGACCTCTTGGTTCCAGGGTTGACACTCAACCAGTGAGCCACACTGGCAAGGCTGTGTTCATTTTGTAACAGTTTGACTTTAGAAGATCACTGAAAATAAACAAGAATTTTTCTAAAATATAAATTAGAAATTGCTCAATAATGGTAGCTTCTTTTGACAGTGAAGGATTGAATTTAAATATGCAGCACTTGTTGTCTTTATGACATGGTTGAGTTGCATATTTGAAATGTATTTGTTTTTTTTTTCTGTAGAACAGAACAGAAATTTCATAACAGTTGACACTATATTTATGCCAATGACATTTGGGCTGCTTATTGGTGAGATTCATTTACTATAAATCAGATGAACTTTTCTTACCATAACATAATACTAGCTGGACACCAGAAGGATACTAAAAAATATCCACCTATTTTTAAATTTTCTGATTTGTGATTACATAATAAATGAAAAAAAAAAAACAGACTTTGAAGAAACTGAAATGTGAAAAATTACTTTAAAAAAGAAATTGACATTTCTTCCTTTTATAGAATTCAAATAGATTACTTTTATCCTTAGCAGTCTCTGTCCTCTGTTCCTCCTAGCACTGAGTTGCCCAGAGGGTAAGGAGTATCAGCCCTGCGTGCGACCCTGTGAAGCAAGAACATGTCTGAACAGATGGTTCTATGGACACTCTTCATGTCTGAATGTAAGAGAAGATTGTGTGTGCAAAACTGGAACCATTCTTCACAGGCCATATTCGACTCAGTGCATTCCAGAGGAGGAATGTGGTAAGCAGCAAAGTACAAAATGACCTCTTACGGATCCAGCAAACAAATAAAACGTCAGATCGTGAAGAGATGTACTGAGAAAGATTGATCACAAGTAACCTAGCTATTGGAAAGGAACTGAGTTTGTTAGTTTATAGTTGGTTTTAGAGGATTTTAGTTGAAGTTACCAAAATAGGAGCTTTGGTGGAAATATCTTTTAATCTCCACCTGTGCCTTTAAAAACTGGGCAAGAGTATGGAAAACTAAGAATGAAGAGGGTAGTATGTGAATTAATTCAAATTCCAATTATGTCAAGTTTCCAACTTTACCTCTATAAGCCTGAGTCATGCATCTGTAAAATGGGTAAAAAATACCCATAAGGTTAGTGTGGGAGTATACAAAATAATACAAACCATTTCACAACAGTGTCTTGAGAAAAAAATAGCGCTTAAAACTTTCAGATACTGTTATTATCTGAGAGAAAAGAGTTAATATTTCTACTTTCATTTTCAAATCATTTTTCTCTGACACATTATCTCCATGGTAGTTTCAGATGAAAAATTGAGAAAACTTCAGTCTAGCAGTCATAGGGCTAATCATCACAGTCAGAAGAAAAGACATTTAGATAAAAGTAAAGAAAAATTATTTAGGCATGTACAAGTGAAATGCATATGTAGTTTCAGAAACAAGTTTGTGTTTGCCATTGAGGAAAGTATTTGTGGAGACTTTGAGAAAATATAGGCATGCTTATGTTTGTTCTCAGGAACCTATGAAGTTGGCTTGCTAGTAAATGGGTGGTATAAAATAAGTTCATTGGAAGCTGGGATGCAGTGGGTCATTACATTTATCTTTATTACTCCTTAAAAGAACTACTAGAGAACCACATTTATTATTAAGTAACAGTTTAATAATAAAACTAATAGAGTCACTAAATAATTTATTTTGTTGCCTACTTTTCATGTTTAGACTTTAAAGTTAAAATATTTTGAATTTTCGTATCACAAAAAATGTTAAGATGAGGTAGGGATTATCTTGTTTTCTAATACCACTCATTTTCAACAGTTAATATTTTAAAACATTTAAAGTCTTGTTACTGAGTTTGTTCAAATGGAGTAAATTGTGTTAATAATAAAAGTAATTGACCAATTATGCTATTTATAAAGTAGAGTATACAAATTTACAGAGACTTTTAGAAGGGTGATTATATATATATATATATATATATATATATATATATATATATAATTTATTTAGATATATATATAATTTTTAATATATTTTATTGACTTTTTACAGAGAGGAAGAGAGAGGGATAGAGAGAGTTAGAAACATCGATGAGAGAGAATCATCGATCAGCTGCCTCCTGCACACCCCCTACTGGTGATGTGCCTGCAACCATGGTACATGCCCTTGAGCAGAATCAAACTTGGGACACTTCAGTCCGCAGGCCAACGCTCTATCCACTGAGCCAAACCGGTTTCAGCTAGAAGGGAAATATATATTTTTTGAGATACAACAAACACTTCATTAAAGGAAAATATAAGCTAGTATCTGATGAGTGTGAGAAAGGATAGTTGTGTGATATCGATATGTTATCGGTGCCACTGGGCCAAGTCACAGTCTGAAATCAAACTACAGTAGCTTGATTGATTGTAGGGCCCAGGGTTTGAATGATGAGACATTGTCCATCTTTCTAAGCATGTACTGACAGTGAAGACCAGCCCCACACCGCTGGGGAGATTTGGAATGGGGGTGTGGATGAATGTGCCCTCTACAAATGTCTGGAGAATGGAAGCATCATTCCTATAGAGCCTGACTGTGAGGAAGAACCCTCACCCGTTTGTGAACGAGAGGCTGAGCTCATCATAGGCATCGTTGACAAGGAGTCCTGCTGCTCAAAGGAGCTTTGTGGTAGGTATCCAGCTGACACTGTACACTCAGTTCATGTCACAAAACATGTATGTTTGCAATCATGGTGGAAAAGTGGGTGTGCATGATGCTGGTATAAAAAATGCAATTTTTTTAAGCATAGCAATGGATGTAAAACAGTGGGGGGTGAGGGCATGTACAGGAGTGGGGTGGGGAATGAGGCAATGGTAAGATATGTACACATATAATACCTTAATAAAAAAAAAAAGAAAAAGAAAAAGAAAAACAATGCAAGTTTGAGGTAACAATGGATGTTTTCCTGTAAATTTCACGTGCACTTTCTCAAAGCAAGTTTTGCCTCATTATGGTTTTGCTGATTTTGCAAAAACACATACAAAACTCTGGCTATTAGTAGTTAATAATATTCAGTAATACATGAAAGAAATGTGAGAAAGGATAGGTGTGTGCCATGTTATCTGTGCTGCTGTGCCATGTCACAGTCTTAGGATCTGTGAATCTTTGATTTATGACAATCAAGGGTGAAAAATGAAGTAAACCTTACATCTCCTGCCTTTTCACCTATAACCAATTTTGTAAACAGAATGGGTTGAACTGCAATGTGAAAACATGCATAATGAAAATCATTTCCCTGCTTTGAATTGGAATCACTAAGTTTTAGTTATGTTCATTAATATTTTAATGCTTCTGTTTCTTATATGCAGGATGTGACATGTCCTTGTGTGATACTACCATTCCGACATGCACAGATAGCCAAAAATTGTACATTGGCCATAGCCCTCTTTCTTGCTGTCCACAGTACCAGTGTGGTGAGTAATTGATTAGAAAAAATAATAGTGAGAGTCATTATTCATTCAGAATAGTGTATTAGATTCTCATTCTTTGTGTATGCAAAGAAATAATCTATTTTTAAGATTGTGGCCCTAACTGGTTTAGCTCAGTGGATAGAGCATCGGTCTGCGGACTGAAAGGTCCCAGGTTCGATTCTAGTCAAGGGCATGTACCTTGGTTGCAGGCATATTCCTATTGTAGTAGGGGGTGTGCAGGAGGCAGCTGATTGATGTCTCTCTCCCTCTTTCTCTCTCTCTCTCTCTCTCTCTCTCTCTCTCTCTCTCTCTCTCTCTCTCTCTCTCTCTCTTTCTCCCTCTCTCTCCAAAATCAACATATTCTCATATAATTTATATATGTGTATATATATATATATACATATATACATATACATACATATACATATATATATATTAATAAACTCATTTTAAAGATTTCGATATTTTCGAAATATGTAGAAAACTCTATCTATCTATCTATCTATCTATCTATCTATCTATTTATCTATCTATAAAAGCCTAAGCGACTGTTACAATCAATCAACAGAAAGACCAGTTGACTAGTCACTATGACGTGCACTAACCACCAAGGGGCAGACACTCAATGTAGGAGCTGCCCCCTAGTGGTCAGCCAACCTCCTGAGGCCTGTTAACCTTCCACAGTCCCTCCTCCTGGCCAGCTGGCCCCCATCAACCCCCATCAGGACTGGGCTAGCTGTCCCCTATCAGCCCTAATCACTGTCCAGGCCAAGGGATCCCACCCATGCACAAATTTGTGCACTGGGCCTCCAGTAAATATATATTCAAAGATAACTTAAAATGCACTATTTCACTTATTTTATCCCCAAATATGCAGTTTTTGGTGTTCTGTTTTTTTGTGTTTTGTTTGTTTGTTTGTTTGTTTTGTTTTTTAATACTATGCAGTATTTAAAATAACTGTGTTTCTGCAGAATGTGACCCATTGAAATGTCCCAGTTTTTCAATACCGGAATGCAGAGAAGACCAATTTATGATTCAAGTTCAACACGATGAGCCTTGCTGTTTTGCTCCTATCTGTGGTGAGTATTGAATATTATATGAGATAATTTCTTGGAAGAAGGAGGATACAGGGAAAATCTCTTATTTGATGTGAATTTCATGGGACTGATGGAAACCAGAATTCTGCTTTTATAGAAATTCAACTGAATGAGAACAATAAATAAGAAAGTCCAGCATTATAAATGACTTATAATTATTAGTTAGTACTACTTTTCCCCTTCCATAAATAACACATATATCAGTCAAAACATGATCAAGATAATATAATCAAAGTGTTTTTTTCTTTAGTAAGGCCAACATCCAGTTGTTTTTGGAGAAGAAAATAAGCCTTGGGTTTCCTTGAAGAACCAAATAGAATAATGGATTCTGTTAAGACATTACATGACCTCTTGAAAACTTTATTTCCTATATGATCTTAAAAGAGAATGGTAGAAATGAAGGTTGTTTGGGAAATGCTGTATATGGAGCTATATGTTTATATGATAAACTGAACATTGAAAAATAAAGAATTATCTATTTTCCATTATAAGCGAATCCTATATAATAAAAGAGTAATATGCAAATTGACCCTAAAGGCAGAATGACCCGAAATGACCAGTTGCTATGATGTGCACTGACCACCAGGGGGCAGATGCTTAATGCAGGAACTGCCCCCTGGTGGTCAGTGCGCTCCCACAGGGGAAGCTCCTCTCAGCCCCAAGCCGAGCTGATGGCTGAGAGCGCAGCGCTGTGGGTGGCGGGAGCCTCTCCTGCCTCCTCAGCAGTGCTAAGGATGTCTGACTGTGGCTTAAGCCCACTCCTTGTGGAGATCAGGCCTAAGCTGTCAGTTGGACATCCCCCAAGGTTTCCCAGGCTGCCAGAGTGATATCTGAGGCCTGCCAGTGTAGGCCCGATCCCCCAGGAGCAGGCCTAAGCCCACAGGTGGACATCCCCCGAGGGGTCCTGGACTATGAGAGACGCCAGGCTGGGCTGACGTCTCTCCTAATGCATGAATTTTCATGCACTGGGCCTCTAGTTATCATATAAAAGATTGCTGACTAATATAGGTTTTAGATATACTTAAATCAAAACACATTATTTGTACCAGTTAAGACTCTTTGACCACTATAAGTGGAAGCAGTCAAAATCGGTTGATCTAGCTGAAGCACAACCAATTACTGGAAGGATTTGGGGATCAATATTTTGAAGGATTAAGATGAAACAGATTCGGCTCTGGGAAAGAGAGAAACCAGCTAGCTGTTCTCTCAATTATTAAGTATTGAGTCAGCAACATCTGTTTCCTGTCCTGGTGTGCTTCCATGTATGATTCAAATGCAGTAGAAAGAGATTCTGGTTCAACCAATGTGAATTGTTCCCTCAGAAGCCTGCTGAGAATGAGGTGCCTTTATAACAGTCATACCAAGTCTGGAGCATTCCCTCCAGGTCTTTATAGAGCTTTTATCAACATTTGGAGAGGGATTCTGAACAGCTCAAAAGGACAAGTTCTGCCTGAACAGCATGACTGAGTGGTTGAATGCCAACCTATGAGCTAGGAGGTGACAGTTTGATTCCCGGTCAGGGCACATGCCTGGGTTGCAGGCTCGATCCCTGGTGTGGGAGTGCAGGAGTGCAGGAGGCAGCCAATCAATGATTCTCTCTCATCACTGATGTTTTTCTCTGTCTCTCCCTTTCCCTTCGTCTCTGAAATAAATAAAAATATCTACAATAATAAAAGCGTAATATGGTAATTAGACCAGACGGCTGAACAACCTTCTGATCATCCTTCCAGATGACTTTCTGGACGAAGCTGGGATGTGAGGGCCAAGGCAGCCATGGTGGCTGCAAGGGCTGAGCCCCTTGCACAAATTTTATTCATGAAGCCTCTAGTATTTTTATTAAAAAGGACAGGTGCCTATTATATTGTTTACTCATAAATTAGAGTAATCAGGAACAGTGAATTAAGAAAACTTAAATAAACCAATCAATAGTATTTCAATCCTAACAAGAACAAATTATTCCAGAAATCTTAATGCCCTATGTTTTTGGTAAAATGGTATTCTGTGTCACTCTGCTTGGAAAGCATAAAGCAATATAATCAGGCAGTAAAATTGTTTTTATGACAAAATACAATCTGTTGAAGCTTTAATTTTGTTTATGTTGATTTTTCTATACATACATTAATCTGAACTAATGTATTAGACACACACACACACACACACACACACACACACACACACATATATATATATATATATAATGTTAGCTCAGCTGTAACTTCTGGCTTTTTGTTTTTCCTTTAGTGTGTGAATCTTGCACTGAACCTATTCCACTATGTACTGATGGGGAATTTCTCACTGTGGACCTTAATACCACAGAGTTCTGTTGTCCTCAGTATTACTGTGGTAAGTATACCTTAACTAATTTGAAATATTTACAAGTGTCCAAAGTTTTAAGAAGCTCAGTGCATCTTAGTGCTACTGTCATGTCAGACCATAGTTGAATTCTAGCATACAAAATGCATATTAATCATAAATAATGTTTTCATGTCTCTAAGAGCTCTTCTTGGATAATACCATTACCTACCAAAAATAGATCAGCTATGACAAAAGCTCAGCTATGACTTGTCTCACGATCCTAGAATTACTCCTCATCTAGTTGATTCCATATCCTTTTCATTTCCTTTCTCTTCTTGTACTCCTGCCATTTCTCAGGCTCTTTACTTTGGTGCGATGTCCTACTGTTGTTGTATGTGTTATGAATCATTTGTTTGTCCTCACCAGCACAGGGCAATTGGATGGTGGCGGGGAGGCACCTGGGAGAAATGAGTTCAGGCACTACAGCAGTGGCAGTGAATTAAATGGCAGGGAGTGAGACTCCTGGTTCCATGAAGTTAATCTTTACTCATGTAATTTTTCCATCCAGTTTGTGAGCCAAATCTTTGTCCTGTGCCACTACTTAACTGTGCAGAAGACATGAAACTTGTGAAAGAGAATGTTTCTGGTCAATGTTGTCCAATATGGCACTGCGGTAATTCATTTTCATATTTTAAAGTTTTATTACAATACACTAATGTATTCTGATCATTATAAATGTTGATTTTTTGCCTTTTAGAATGTCGCTGTGAGAACCTTGTTATACCAACTTGTGAAGTGGTAAGAACACATATTTTAATTAACTTATCATCTAATTTAAATCATTTTTTTCTTTCTTTACCTCTTTTATTTCTGAATTCTTAAAATTAATGGAATTACCCTCCTTAATTTGACTGTAGTAGATGAAAACAATGTGCTCTGATATTAGAGAGCTGTCAATGTTTTATGTTCTATTTCAGATAGGAACTTACAATACCTTATTTTTTCCACTGGTAACTAAATCTACTAATCTCATATCTAATTAAGTTCACTAGTCTTAAAAGCAAGCAAACCACTAAATAATACTATCTCAATATTGGTATAGATAGTGGTGATGGTTTCATGGATATATATTTATTTTCAAATTCATCAAGTTGCATGTCAAATAAATAAAGTAATTATATTTTACAAAAATATTAATTCAACATTTACTGTAATTATGTGTTATCTATTTTTTGCATAGTGTGTGAATCTTATATAAATAATTTTTTATAAATAACTTTCATAAAAATTATCTCATTTGATATTTTATGTGCACTATATACACATCTATAGAATAAAATATAATTATTGAGTTGTATTTTCACAGGTTCTTAATAGTTTACATAATATGTTTAGCATATTATATCAATGAATCTTCCCAATGTAGGTATTTTTTAGCTCATTTTATAAGTAAGGAAATTGAGGTCTGAGAGAATAAATTATTGACTGAAATCTTCAGGACTCAAGACAGGCATTGTTTTGTGTATATGTTTGTTAATATGTATTCCTTTCTTCTTTTTAAAAAAATATATTTTAATTGATTTTTTTTAACAGAAAGGAAGGGAGAGGGAGAGAGAGTTAGAAACATCGATGAGAGAGAAACATTGGTCATCTGCCTCCTGCACACCTCCCACTGGAGATGTTCCCACAAAGAGGTACATGCCCTTGACCATAATAGAACCTGGGACCCTTCAGTCCACAGGCTGATACTCTATCCACTAAGCCAAACCGGCTAGGGCTATATTCCTTTATTTTTTCCACTCTGTCTTTATTCTTTCATTTCCTTTACAAAGTGTACCCAAGACATAAGTTGACACAGAACAAAGGCAAGAACAAACTGTCTTGTTTCTATTAGTGACCTTGCCTTTCTTTAACTGTGACTCACTTTCCTAACTGTAATATGAAAATAATAACAATACCTGTTATGCAAATGAAGTAAATGAATATAAATTAGATAATACTTAACATATAAACAAGAGTTCAGTAAGTATTAGTGATAATACTAATACTGAGAATTTTATCACAAGGTGTAGATCATCATGGAAATGGAAGGTGAGCATCAAGAAAAATTTGGAAGAAAGTTATAATCATGTGAGGAATATAATATATATATATATATATATATATATATATATATATATATATATATATATCTCGAGCCAGGGTCAGTAATATCTAAAATGACTAAAGGGATGACCAAATGCCAGGCTGCATGTGCAGCAGGCTCAGGTGGGTGGTGAACTGCTGACCTCTCAGAGAGAAAGAGAGGCAGGGCTGATCAACAGCTGCCACAGCTGTTGGCAAGGCCCAGAGGGAGAAGCAGGGTCTGATCTGCAGCCTCCGTGGCAGCTGCTGATCAGCCCTTGTCTCTCTCTCTTTCCAGGCCTTGCCTGCAGCCACGCCTCTCTTTCTCTCTTTCTCTGAGAAGTCAGCAGTTCAGCCTGCTCACCAGCAGCTTAGGGTGGCTGCCAATCAGCCCCACCTCTCTGATCAGGCCCTAAGATAGGCCCAGAGATGCTGACTGCATAGAAACTGACCAATCAGAGCCAAATCTAGGTAAGCTCCAAGAAGCCAATGGCTGCCTAGGAGGCAGAGCTTTTGATGCTGACTGGCATAAAAACCAACCAATCAGAACCTAATCTGGGTGAATTGCAAGAGCAGAACCTAAGATGGTGGCTGAAGAGGGATTTTAAGGGCAACAGCTGTTTAGTGTAAGGTGTAAGAAAGTGGTTCAATTTTTTAATGACCAGTTTGGCAGTATAGTGTATATGGCTGGCTATCAGTCCAGATATAGAGATTATATATTTTTGTCTGCCAAGAGCATTTTCTCCTGCTAAAAAAGACTCTCCCCACAATTAAACAATCCTATCCTGTATAATCTACATATACTAATAAAAGGGTAATATGCTAATTAGACCGGGTCGACTGGCCATCTTTCAGACATCCGACTTCCTTCAGGACAAAGCCATTGTGGTGGGGACTGAGGCAGAGGCAGTTAGGGGTGATCAGGCTGGCAGGGGAGAGCAGTTAGTGGCAATCTGGCAGGCAGGCAGAGGCAGTTAGGGGCAATCAGGCAGGCAGGCAGAGAGGTTAGGGGTGATTGGGCAGGCAGGCAAAGTGGTTAGGGGCAATCAGGCAGGCAGGCAGAGGCAGTTAGGGGTGATCAGGTCATTCAGCTGTCTGGTTTAATAGCATATTATGCTTTTATTATTATTGATTCCTTTTCCCCCATGGGATTTTGTGCCTCCTCTGTTCTGGGTTCCTTGAAGCTTCTTTGGGTAGAACCCTCATGTTCATTCTTTAACCTTTGTGTGGTTGTTACGTTAACTATGCTTCCTTTCTTTTCTTTTTTCTCTTTTTTGTGTGCCTTTACTGCCTATTTTGGCCTAACCACCCACCAACCAAACACATTTCTGTGTGTCCCTCCCTTTACCTGCCCCCTCCCCTTTAATGAGTTTCTACCATTCTCCACTTATCCTTTCTCTGTGTTCTTCTCCCTTCCCAACGTTTGTGGTAAAAACTGATCCATTTAGTTTATTACCAGCTCAAACTCAATGTCTGAAGATTATATATGAATCAAACTTTGACATTACTCAATTTCCCAAATATTTATTGAATGGTGATTGTATATTAGCATCATTCTGGGCACATACAACATAAACAATAGTTTCAATAACCTTACCCAAATATATCACAACCATTTTAACATTCATTATTCTACATAAGCATTGACCTGATCCATTGTTCCTGAGTTCTCATCCTGAATGATGGCTGCTTGTTTCAGTGCATATGATATTATCTGTATATATTTAACATCACATTAGTTTTTCACATAGACAACAGATTCATTTCAAGCTAAAGACTATATGAGACTCTTGCAGTATTTCTTTTTAATTTTTTCAGTGACAGCTTTATTGAAATACTAGAGGCCTGGTGCATAAAATTAGTGGACTCAGGGGGCAGGGGAGGTGTCCTTCAGCCTGGCCTAGGCCCTCTTGCAGTTGGACATCCTTAGTGCTGTAGCGGAGATGGGAGAGGCTCCCACCACTGCCACTGCACTTGCCAGTTGTGAGCCCAGCTTCTAGCTGAGTGGTGCTCCCCCTGTGGGAGTGCAATGACCACCAGGAGATAGCTCCTGCATTGAGTGTCTGCCTCCTGGTGGTCAGTGCATGTCAAAGCGACCAGTCATTTTGCCATTTGGTCAATTTGCATATTAGCTTTTCTATTATATGGGATAATTCACACTAGAGGCCTGATGCACAAAATTCACAGCCCCTCACAGCCCCTTGCAGCCTCGACAGGCCCTCACAGCTCTGGCTGCCTCAGCCAGCTCTGGCAGCCCTGGCTCTGTTCAGAAGGTCATCTGGACTGTCATCAGGAAGGTCGTCTGGACAGTTTCCCCCTGTTCGGTCTAATTAGCATATTAGCTCTTTATTATATATAATTATCATACAATTCAGTTATAAATGTACAATTCAATGCTGTTTAGTGTATTCATAGAATTGTGAAACAAAAGCTCATATGAATGTTCATAGCAGTACTATTCATAAAGCCAAAAAGTAAAAACAGATTATGGTGATTTTGCTACAGACTTTAAAGGAGTAAACAAAAATCTAATATGTTCGTACTGGTCGAACAATTAAGGAGATATTTCCTTTTGGTGAAATTAGGTACTTAGAAAATAAAAGTGCAACCAAATATGTGGATAAGATCCAAAGGAAATGTAAGTAGAAGGAAAGAACAGAAGATTTAAGTCTAAACTTGCAAGGACACATTGGACATTGTGGATTTAATTATTAAAAAAAGTGATTAAGTGACTTAAACAAGGCAGTATGTACCAAAAACCTCCTTATCTAATCTTCTGGAGTAGCTGATACAGTGAGATAATTTATTATTTTTAACCGCATATTTCTAACATTTTATTTTCAATCTCATCGGAATTATGTAATGACTAAAAGTCATAAAATCTCATTTGAGTTAACATTTATGTAACTACTTTACAACTTGTAAAAAAAACTATGAAAAGTAGAATATTATTAGCTTATGGGGAAAAGTTACTTTTATATATGACTTTATTTTAATCATTTCTTATGTCAAGAATCAATTCATTTTATTACCGATCTTATGAAAATTAAATGTATCCAGGAAAAGTTGATGCTTAAAATGTAATTCTTAAAACTTTAAGCCTGGTCCTACACTTGAGAGGAATCTAGACCCTTCCTAATAAAGAAACATTTGAGTACCGGGCATGACAACAACTTACTACAGTGAAAGGTTACACACCACCTTCTGTGTGTCTTCCCTATTGTAAGCTCTGTACATATACTGACCCATTTATTTCTCTCAACAATCCTAAAGGTCAGGCAGTATTATTATCCCCACTTTACAAATGGAGTGAGGAGCAGACTGGCTAAGTAACCTGCCCTCCATATATCACACATCTAGTAAGTAGTAGAGCAAGATCAGCACACAGGCAGTCTTGTTCTTGAGTCTGTGTCATTAAGCACTATATCATACTCTTCTGCATCTGCTTCACATAATATCAGCCTTGCTCAGATGCAGACATCAGAACCTGGACAACTCCTACAGAACAGGTCAAGATAATTTCCTTCAAGCAAAGTTTCCAGGATTAGCAAACACTTTCTTTTTTTCATTTAAAAATGTATTTTTATTGATTTCAGAGGAGAAGGGATATGGAGAGAGAAATAGAAACCTCAGTGATGAGCAAGAATCATTGATGGGTTGCCTCTTGCATGCTCTCTACTGGGGGGTGACCCCACAACCCCGGGCATGTGGCCTTGACAGAAATCAAACCTGGGACCCTTCAATCGCAGGCCAACGCCCTATCCACTGAGCCAAACTGGCTAGGGCAACAAACATTTTCTTATCTCTGATTACTCACTAGAAGCTTAGAATCAAACAATATTTTACCGCTAGGACAGATCATAAAGATCATCTCATCTGCCTTCACTCACTTACTAGATAAGCAAATTAAAGTTTATGAAGATTAAGTGATCCATGCTCACATTGTTCATTGTGATTTCCCCCCTGAGCTATTAATTAAAGGACCACCAGGTTAATCCAAGACTGTTCACCATCAAATATTTATTACACACCTGCTATGTGTCTGACTGTATGGTAGACAACTTGTTAAATATTATATTGTCTGTTTTTTTACAGTTGTCATATAAAAAGCCATATAATGTTATATAATAATACAAATATCTTTCTAATAGGGAGAATTTACTACAATAGATCATAACTTTCAGAGTGACTGTGGATGTGTGAAGTATCTCTGTGGTAACTATGTTTTTTATAACTTTTAAATGCCAGTGAATATTATTGGTGTATGTTGTTTACTATTCATAAATTAAAAATAATTTAATTTGAAATGAATTACACATTTTAAGCCATTTGCCAAGTTTTGAGTATAAAAATATTATAAATACTATTATATTTGTTTCATCTTTTGTAATATTTCAAAATGTTCTGAGAAGTTTGATAATTGAACAGAAAAGTGAATAGTACTTTTCAGAAACATCACAATATGTAAAGTTGATGCTAGGGTTCATACCTATATACTTAATTTTTTAAAAAAATAGACATATATTAGTGACAGGTGTTTTTTTTTTTTTCCTTCACTGTTTTATTATTATTGACTAGATGCCTGGTACATGGATTAATGCACTGGTGGGGGGAATATTTTTCAGGGATCAGCCCTCTGAGCAGCTGCTCCCTCTGTGGGAGTACACTGACCACCAGGAGGCAGCTCCAGCGTTGAGCATCTGCCTGGTGGTCAACCTGTTGTCTGGTTATTCTGCCATGCAGTCACTGCACTTTTATTATAAAGGATGTTAACACTGCAAAGCCGAGAGTTGTTTTTTCTATGAAATAACAAAACTTCATATAATGTATTAATATGTTAATGGAAAATAAAAATTTTTTTCCAAGAGCTTGAAACTTGTATTTTTATATGAGAGAAGGCTTAATTTCTGTGTTGTTGAAACACAAAGATTTTCTGAACTGATTACTTCATCACCCTAACATGTCACTCTTAATGATATGATACTACATTGTATCAGTTGCCTTCATCATGAAGTATGATTATAAATGACTATTTATTTTGCAGCACAATAAAATTAAAAATTTATTCTCAAAATAACAATTAAAAAACATTAAATGTTGCTGAACCCCACCAGGAAGAGATCTACTATTATTAATTTATATTTTGCCTCCATCTATATCCACTCCCAAAAATTGTCATGTTATATTTCCGGAAGAGGGAAAAATAAATAGTTTGACAATCTCTTAGGTCTAAAATTCTGCAATCTACTACAAAATATAGTTTTGGAGGAAGTTCAGTCAGTGAATAACAGTTGAATTTATAGATCAATTTCTTGTTGTATGTTAAGGAATAAATGTGCTTCGTTATTAAGTAAACTCTTAAGTTATTAACAACATGTAAAGGTGAAGGTCTATTTTGGTTTTGGAAAAATTGCACATCATAATTAAAACAGATCAATTCCATTAAATGGTTAATTAAAATATTGTTCTTTTTGATGACTGTTTTTCTTTTCCTAGAAAAAGATGATGTGTGTGTATTTCAAGATGTATCAGTATTGAATCCTGGCCAATCTATGATAAAATATTTGGAAGGGGACTTTTGTCATACAATAGAGTGTCTGGAAGAAAAAGATAACATTACAGGCTTTCACACTCTGAATTTTACAATGGTGAATTGTTCAAAAGAATGTGACATTGTAAGTATTCTTTATAAGTTATTCTGGTGAGAATTATTCAATCTTAAAATGGCAGCTATAGAATTTGAGATAGGGAATACTGCATAAGTTAAAAATGTATACTTGAATAGTTCTTCAATAACCTATTAGTTTGTAACATATCTACCTATTACAGACTTTTTTTTTCTTGAGCTTCAGAAGTCTTATTATCTACAGCTTACTTAACCTGAAGTTGTTATAACTGCTTGATGAATCTTGGCTGGTAGATGTGAAGATTATAGTGATATAAAATCAATTCTTCTATGAAGTACTTTAAATTCAACATTAGAAATGTTTATAGATGTTCAGAGAGAGCATATATTTATGTTGGGAAGCACTTTCAGAACTAATTAATTATATATTTGTATTGTTGTGGGGCTTATTTAATGTATTATTATCATACACAGCACCAGGCATATACTCCATCTCCAAGTGATTATGATTGCTGTGGCACCTGCAAAAATGTATCCTGCAAATTTCAAATGGAAAATGGAACATCAATTATATATGAGGTATGAATTCCTTGTTTTCTAAAAATATGTTCATTGGAAGATAATCTTTATGCTACTACTTTCTGATGAAGACATTCTTAAATCAAATAAGTTTTCAAAATGCCACAAACACAGAAATACACACAGTGAGTTCTACATACAATAAACATACTCATATTCAGCATGTGTTTAGTGGACAAGATACAGTTACACTGTGAACTATCTGATACTTTCTGTTGTAAAGAACCATATTTAACTCATTTCTCAAGCTTATTTTATAATCTTCATTTTTAAAAATATGTCTTTATTGACTTTAGAGACAAGAAGGGAGAGGGATAGAGACATAGAAATATCAATGAAAGAGAGGCATCAATTCTGCTGCCTCCTGCACCAGGGATGAGGCCCATAACTTGGGCATGTGCCCTGACTCGGAATTGAACCCACCATGACCTCTTGGTTCATGGGTTGATGCTCAACCAATGAGTCATACCGGCTGGGCTTCATTTTTATTTTTAAAATATATTTTTTTATTGATTTCAAAGAGGAAGGAAGAGGAATTAAGAGATATAAACATCAATGATGAGAGAGAATTATCTATCGGCTGCCCCCTGCATGTCCCACACTGGAGATTGAGCCTACAACCTGGGCATATGCCCTGACCAGGCATTGAACCGTGACCTCCTGATTCAAAAGTCGATGCTCAACCACTGAACCAGCCTGGCATTTTATTTTTATTTGTTTTACATATGAGGAATGAGCTTAGAGAAATGCTGATTTCTAATCATTACAAAGAAAAAGAACAATGATATTTTATTTACTCATTTGAATGAAATACTTTAATAGAAATCTGAAATTCAAGATGCTAGCACTTTATTTCAGCTTTTGATGGTTCCTGTCGATATATAAGAAAAAAGATTTAGGTCTTTTGACAAATTTCATTTTTTTAAAAAAATTTTGTTTTTAAAACACTTTTAATCCTCACTGGGGAATAGTTTTTATTGATTTTTAGAGAGAGGAAGGGAGGAAGGAAGGGAGGGAGGAAGAGAAGAGAGAGAGAGAGAGAGAGAGAGAGAGAGAGAGAGAGAGAGAGAAAAATATCAATGTGAGGAGAAATATCCATCCATCAGTTGCCTCCAGAAGATTGAACCTGCAATTTAGGTATATGCCCTGACCTGGAAACTAACCGGCAACCTTTTTGGTACATGGTTTGATGCTCCAACCAATGGAGCCACCAGACACCAGACCAGGGCAAAAAATATGCTATATTACATCTTTATACAAAAAATAATAATTATTCAGAATTCCCCTTTATCTCATAATTCTATATAGGTTTGCAGACTGACCTACTACTTCCCTAGAATTTTTTAAATGAAACTTTGTAATTTTATTAGTAGTATGGTCCGATTTAGGAAAGTCACACATTGTGTTTATAATTTATCTGAAGGTAATTCCAATTTATTATTGCTATCATTACACTTCTTCCATTAATAGTTTAATTATTTCTAGGTATTATTTCTGGTGTTCTTAATTACATGGGATTACTCAAATACCCCAAAATAAAAAGACTGTTTCTATCCTGTACATTTTATTAAATAAGAAAAATGGACAACTATGTTTTTATACCTTAGCCTATTATTTTACAATTATATGCAAAAGAGTATTACTGATTTGTTATCTTATTGTTATTGTTTACCTGTTTATCTTAGCAGTATTATTTCTTTCTAATATATATTTTTAAAAGAGGGAATCTTAAAAAAGGGAACTTACAAAATGAGTAGGAAACATAGATGACAGTGAGAGAAAAGGAATCAGAGAATACTGGAAAAAATACAGTAATTGGGGGATTTTAGTAAAAGGGATTTTAGTAAACTCAATAGATATTGGTAATCTAGGAAGCATTGGTGTATGTAATTAATATTGATGGTGGTATCCCTGAAATGTAAATAAAAGATTAAACTATGTTCAGAATATTTTTTTGAGAACACAAACAATGCAGTATAGGTAAATATACATAATTCTTGGCTTTTTCCAAGGTAAGCTTTAATTCTATGGAAATCTAATTTGTATGGGACAATGAATTTTTTTCAGACAAATAAGATATTACTGTGTTTCTTGAATTTTAATATTTTTTTTTTATACCTAGACTTCTGGATTATTTTCCAATTAATATTCATAGAAGATCCAAAGTCATTCATGAACTAAAATAAAATTTAGAAAAAGGAAGTTAGTTAAAATTCTTTACTGATCCACAAGAAAACTTCAAGCCAGAGTTTGACTAACATTTTAAAAATCCAGACTATAAAAATATACATCAACAGTTATAGTGCAGCTAGAGGCCCAGTGCACAAAATTCATGCACATGTAGGGTAGCCAGCGGCTAGCAGTTGCTGGTCGGGGCCTCGCTTTCCTGGCCACTGGCTGCCAGCTGGGGCCTCCTTTCCCTAGCGGCCAGCTCCTGGACAGGGCCTTATTTCATTCCACGCCACTTCCTGGTGGTCAGCACACATCATAGCAAGTGACTGAACTCCAGAATGGTAGAACTCCTGAGAGGACGCTTTGCATATTAGGCTTTTATATTAATATATAGAGATAATTATGTAATAAATATGGTTAGCAGACTTTTTAAAAAATATATATTTTATTGATTTTTTACAGAGAGGAAGAGAGAGGGATAGAGAGTTAGAAACATCAATGAGAGAGAATCATTGATCAGCTGCCTCTTGCACACCCCCTACTGGGGATGTGCCCGCAACCAAGGTGCATGCCCTTGACTGGAATCGAACCTGGGACCCTTCAGTCCACAGGCCGATGCTCTTTCCACTGAGACAAACCTGTTTTGGCAAGACTTTCTTTCTTGTTCTTTGTTAATCCTCATGGCCTGATGTACAAAATTTGTGCATAGGTAGGGTCCTCAGGCCTGGCCAGCAATCAGGGCCAATCTGTGGGGTGACCAGCAAGGCAATCAGGGAGGCCAGCCCCTCCCACTTACTGGCCAGCCCCACCCCCCACCTTTGCCAATCACCTCTCTCTGCAGTACATCCAGTGGGACAATTGAACCCTCTTTGGCTGGCTTGGAGCCACCCACTTGCCACCACGCTCCCCCCTCCCCCCCCCGCTACAGTTTTTCTTCCTCTGCTGGAGACTGGTGGGGTGATCAGGGCCCCCATTGGCACCCACCTTGGCCAGCCTGGGGCCTGCAAGTTGGAGCATCTGCCCCCTGTTGCTCAGTGCACATTTAGTGACCAGTCATTCTGTCAGCTGTTCAGCCATTCAGTTTATTTGCATATTAGGCTTATATTATATAGGATAATTATGTAATAAACTAGAGGCCCAGTGCATGAAATTCGTGCATGGGGGGTATGTCCCTCAGCCCAGCCTACACCCTCTCCAATCTAGGCCCCTTGAGGGATGTCCGAGTGCCCATTTAGGCCCAATTCTGGTGGGATCGGGCCTAAAGGGGTAATAGGACATCTCTCTCACATGCCAGGACTGCTGGCTTCCAACTGTTCACCTGCCTGCCTGCTTGATTGTCCCTAATTACTTCTGCTTGCCAGCTTCATTATTCTATAACCACTCCCCTGCCAGCCTGATCAAGGTCTAACTGCTCCCCTGCCAGCCTGATTGCCCCTAACTGCCCTCCCTTGCTGGCCTTGTTGCCCCTAACTGCCTTCCCCAAAGGCCTGGTCACTCCCAACTGCCCTCCCCTACAGCCTTGTTTCCCCTAACTGCTCTCCTCTGCAGGCATGATTACCCCTAACTGCCATACTCTAACACCCCTAACACAATCCCTGCTGGCCTGGTCAACCCTAACTGCCTTCCCTGGCCGGCTTGGTCCCCTTCCAACTTCACTCCCTGCTGGCCTGATTGCTCACAAGTACCCTCCCCTGCTGGTAATCTTGTGGCAGCTATCTTGTGTCCACATGGGGTCAGCCATCTTTGACCACATGAGAATGGCCATCTTGTATTGGAGTGATGGTCAATTTGCATAATATCTCTTTATTATATAGGATATATTTAGCAGATTTTCTTTTTTCTTTTCTTTTTTTTTTTTTAATCCTTACCTGAAGATAATTTTTCATTGATTTTTAGAGAGAATGGAAGGGAGGGAGAGAGATAAACATTGATGTGTGAGAGAGAGAGACCTGACCAGGAGCACAGAGGAAGCCTGCAACTGATCCAGTATTGAACCTGGGACCCTTCAGTCCCTGGGCTGACACTGTATCTACTGAACAAAATCAGCTAGGCTAGCAATTCTAAATAGGAATTCTGACATCAGGAATGAAATAAAGTTATTATGTTTAAAAGTTAAAAGACTAGGAATAGATTTTAAAATAGCCATAAGGTATACAAAAGTAGAACCATAAGTCAATAGTTACTATCATTCAAATATTTTTTTAGTATTTTGCTGACAAGAGAGTGGAAGGAAGAATAAACAAATCTCAAGAAAGGAGGTGTATTACATAATATGATTTGTTTTGTTATAATTAGTGAGCAAAATAGGAGAGCAAGACATTTGACCTTGATCTAATTAGATAATTTTGTAGTATAAACAAATACCTTTTGCTTCTTTACTCCCTATTGCTTTACTTCACATTTACATCTCAGTTATGAAACCAAACACACACACACACACACACACACACACACACACACACACACACCATTCGTGCATTTTAACAACTTAAGTTAGATTTGTGGACTTTTCCATAAGGATGGTTTAAGACTCAAAAGCTTTCTGCATCATGCCTTGTGATTCAATAGTATAGGAAATACTTCAGAAATTTAGCAGATTTCAATAGTAAAACAGTTACTTTCTCTTTTATTTTTAGGAAGGGAGTATGTGGCACTATAACTGTACCACATATGAATGTGTCAAGACTGATGAAGGAACAATGATTCTGAACTACAGCATGGTCTGTCCCCCTTTTAATGAGACTGAATGCAAAATGGTTTGTACTTTGTTATATTTAAGAAAATTTAGTACTAATTAGAATTTAGAAAAGTGTGTTTTCCAAGGTCATACATACATTGTAGCTTGTTTATTTTGGTGAATGTTTTATTCTCATGTGTACATAAAAGCTCTATTATATGTCCTCAGTTTTCCATTTTGAATTATATATGGTATTCCAAGTAATTTTCACTCTCCCTGAATAAACATTATGCTAATTCTGGGTTTTTAATATGTAGATAAAGGATTATTGATAAATCATTTGATCACCTAGCCTCTTTCTCAATATGGGTTGATAAATGAGCTTGAATGATTTTTTCTTTCTTAAACACACAGACAGATTTACGATGTAATTCACTTTTTAGTGCATGCTGGCCTAAGTGAAATTTGTCTTAGCTCCTCTGAGCACAGCCAGCTGTGGAACTGAGCACATGTCATAGCTGGTCCCCAGTTTTGTTCTCCCAGTTCCTTATTCTCTCAGATTTTTAAAAGTGATACAATCCCCCCACCCTTTTATTACTAACTTTGAAGGTTGCTGAGACAACTTTCTATTCCATGTGAAAGTAATACAATTAAAAAAAATTACAGTAGCTTTAATTAATAGGTAATAATCCCTAATGAAAGGTAAACTTTGCTCTGTTGTGTGGGGCAATATTTTCTAAGTGAAGATAAATAGCAGTCTCATTGATATTTTTCAAAATGTCCTCTTTTGGTAATGATGGATGACTCACTAGCTGGCTAGGTAGATAACATATGTACTAAAGTGATAGAATTTCAGGTCTGGAAAGAATCTTAAGACACCATCTTAATTCAACAGTTTTTAAAATTTGAATTGTAATTATTTAGTTACTAAAAGCAAACAGAAACTTCCCATAATAATTCTAAAAGAAACTTTCCATAATAATTCTAAAAGATAATAAAATGTTCTTAATTTATCCTTAGTCAGAAGCCATTCTGAAGTAGAGATTTTTTAAAAATAGTAAAATATTACAGAAAAATAAACACCATTTTAACATCTGATTATATTCAGAAAATCAGTCTATTCTTATAGAGTAGCTTATATTATTTTGAAGAATTGAAAAATATAATGGCCTCTACTGGTAAGACTTTTTTTTGTTGTTGTTGTATTTAAAAATTTGGGCTGATGCCATGTTGGTGTCAGCCCTTCTGTTAGCAGGTGTAATAATAAATTTATAATCTTAAAAAATAAAGTTGTGTAATGTTTTTTAAGGAAGTTAATCTTTTTACATTCTGATATTATAAATAAAGAAATAACATTTTAAACATATGCTCCTAAATTTTTTACAAAAGGAATTCTTATTAGTAGTTAAATTCCAATCATTTTCCTATAAAGTACTTTGCGATACTTAATAAAAATATCGATTTAGTTTTCTATTTCTAGTCCAAGAAGAAATAAACAAACCCTGTGAGTTTTGACTTTTCTCCTCTTTTCCTAGAATGAAGGAGTTGTAAAGCTTTATAATGAAGGCTGTTGCAAGATCTGTAAGTGAAGATATATTACATTGATTAATTTGATAGATTAGTTTTAATTGTCCTATGATTTTCCTTGTAAATTTCAGTCCCTATGACATGTGGAGGGAAACAAATTGTACAATGCATATTAAATGTTTTTGTTTCATGGATGATTATTTTGTAATTTAGTCTTCATTGAGTAACATGTTTTTTTAGATAAATTTTAATTTAAACATTAGAAATTTCTTTATTGTTGCATTTCCCCAAAGATATAGTGTGGGACTCTAATGAGTTTAAGTTTAAAAGTGCTCTGTGGTCAGATTTACTGGGAACATGTGGAACTATGCAGGAGTAAGTAGGCTACGATGAGAAGGTCATTATGAATCCAATAAAGGCAAAGTGCAGTATTTTCCAAACCTATTGGGACAAGTCTATGGTTCTTATGATACATTTGAGAAATGCTAATTTTAATGAGTACATTTATACCCTATATGTAAAACTTCCCAATAATTATTTTGATAAAGTTATGTACACACACACACACACACACACACACACACACATCATATATATATATGTATATACATATATATATATATATATATATATATATATATGATGTGTGTGTGTGTGTATATATATGATATACGTTATATTAGTTCAAATGTTTATTTCATAGTAACTTTTAAAAATATATTTTTATTGATTTCAGAAAGGAAGGGAGATAGAGATAGAAACATCAATGATAAGAGAGAATCATTGATCAGCTGCCTAATACACACCCTACCTTGGGGATCAAGTCACAACCAGGGCATGTGCCCTGACTGGAAGTGAATCATAACCTCCAGCTCCTTAGGTCAACGCTCAACCACTGAGCCACACCAGCCAGGGCTCATAATAATTTTTAAAGATTTTAAGTACTGAAATAGAATGGAGAGGTATTAATACAGGCATCTTTTTTTTTTTTTTTTGTATTTATGACTTTCTCAAGATAAAAATAGGAGTTTTAGGCAGTTTTCATTTACATAGTATGTAAATCTGACACACACAAACTTACCACAACAAACAAAGGAGTTCAACATAAGCTGGCCTGACATCTAATGTGACATTGTATTTGTTTGCTAATGCTGTTATAACAGTGCCACAAGCTGGGTGACTTAGACATGTATATCTCACAGTTCTGGAGGTTAGAGTCCAAAATAAAAAGGTCCATGTGATTGGTTCCTTCTGAGGACTTGAGGGAAAGATCTGCTGCAGGCCTCTCTCCTTGGCTGGGTTCTTCTTGTATGTGTATCTATCTCCAAATCTCCCCTTTTATAAGAGCATTAGTCAGATTGGATTTGGGCCTACCCTAATGACCCCATTTTCACTTTATTATCTCTGTAAAGACTCCATCTCCAAATAAGGTGATTTCTGAGGTTCAGAGGAATATTTCAACCCATAACAGATTTTATTGCTGGGACTTTTGTAAATAGGATAATGCCACTTATACTTCTTGAATTCCTGGGGCTCTTAGATACACACTAATTAATTTTTTTTCTGTTAGAACAAAAAGTAGTTTTTAATTCAGTATTTTATGAATTATATGTAAACTAATGTATATCCAATAGTCATTGTATCAGGAACCAAAGGAATGAAATTAAGCTCCAGAATCTGAGGAAGTTTATATTTTTATGACTTCTTTTTCCTCTGCTTCTTCACTTCAGTCTAGACTCTTCTTTAGGTATGAGACATAGGAGTAAAATCATATAGCAGACGTGAAGAGCTTAGATTCTGTAACTCCATGTGAATTATTAGAGAAGTGAGGCCACTTATGTCATCAGGAGATCTGCATGACTGACCATCTCAGTCCTATTTATTGCCTGTCACACATAGACACTCTATTAAGCCCAGTGCAGACCAGTACTACAACTAATCTTCATAAATTCTGAGAGCTAGATGGAAAGATAGGGATTGTTCACCCTATATAAAAGAAAATAATGATTCTGAAAAGTTGATCACACTTATCAGTAATAGATGAAGGGCTGGCCCCAGGGCCTTTCAATTCTGCTAAGCTCTTTGAAGCTGCAGAATAGTAAAAAAAAAAAAAGTCACCTCAGTTTTTCCTATCTGATGAGTAAGGACTTGTAAGGAAGTTTCAGCTTTGGTATCGGAGAACCCTTGTCTGCAGTCTTTGCTTTTGTGTGACCAGGCTATACCAGAGAGACTGTGGGTATTGGATAGGATCACAGGTGCTGTGCTAAAAGAAATGTGTTACAATAAACTCTCTGAGAATGAGTAGGAATGCTTCTTGGTACAAACAAATGGATGCTGTCTAACTAAATTGATGCTGTCCCAATTTCATTCATTGAATAAATTGACTTATCAAACCAATCTTTATTGAGTGCCTGCCACACATCAGACAGTCTTGTAGCACTGGGACTCTAATAGTGAATAAAACAGTATCTGTATGCATAGTGCATATTATCAAGAAGTGGAAGAAACAATGAACACACAAATATATATTATTATGTCAGGTAGTGATGAGTGATGTAAAGAAAAATAGTGCAAAATGAAAGGGATGGAGAGTGAAGGGAACTGGTTGCTAACTTAAGTGAATGGTTGAAGAAGGCCTCTGTAATGAAGTGACAGTTGAATGGAGATTGAATGTCCGCTAGACGAATGAAGAGTTGACAGCAAAGGAAACAGCAGGTGTGGATGTAGCACAGGGATGAAAGTGACAGAAAGAAGAGGGTAAGGTACCTTGTAGGGATGTTAAAGATGTTCTCTTTCTAAACAATTATTCTTAAACTTTCATGAACTAACGACTGAGTGAAAGCAGTATAAGGTACAAACAGCCTGCCCTCTGTCACCAACACTGAGCATTGGGCCACACTATATAGGTGGGAGATCAGGGAAAGGAGAAAGAACAAGCATGAGAGAAAGAGGAGGAGCCACAGTGAGATGAGAGGAAAACCAAAGTGGCTGTTCTAGAAGCCAAGTGTAGAGAGTATATCAAGAAGAAGAGAGTAATGGACTGGGTCAAATACTACTGCAAAGTCAAATAGAATGAGAACAGAGATGTGACCTTGAACTTAGAAATTTAAAGGTCAACTGTTGAGGACGACAGTTTAATTTAAGGTAATTGAACCAGCAGAGCTTAGCTTTGACATACTTTACATGTTGAGATTTCACCAAATTATTTAATTAAAAAATAATGTTGTGACTAAATGTCCTAATAATTCCTTAAGGGATGTATGCACAGGTGGCCTAGGGTGCCTCAGCCAGAAATCTGACACGTACGACCCTAGGTACTTAATTAATAATCCACCAAGCATAAATTACACAGGAGACAGACATGCAATGCATGAATCACTCATGGTTTATTTACCAGAGTCCTGGTGGGTTCCAGACCTCGGCAGGCCATCCGGGGATCTGCTCTCACACACACACACACACACACACACACACACACACACACACACACGCGCGTCGCGCTCACACACGGTTCACAGAGGACTTTGCAGCTGCAGCTCAGCTTGAGTTGAGGCCTTTCACTAGGCTCACGGTCCGCAGCTCAATGCTCGGGACTCGTGGCTCGGGCAGAGCTGTGACTGGTGCAGGCAGGGAAGTGGAGAGCGACCCTCTGTGGAGGAGCAGAAGGAACATATTTGATCTTCTGTGGAGCTTGCTCTTTTTATGTGTCTTCAGTGCTCAGATGTGTCTTCAGTGTGTCTTATCAGTGGGACTCAGGAGCCTTGCTATCCAGTCTTACATATGGGGTACAGATCTATTTCCTACATACAGGTCACTCAAGGGTGCTTATCAGTTTGTTTACATTACATTCCATACTTTCAGATATCACACTTCAATTCCACACTTTAATACTTATTCAATATTGTATTTATCCTTATTACTATTACTATAACACTAAAATCATTTGAAAACTAGAGATCTAAACCCAACCTTTTGCAAACAAGGTAAATCAGTGGAATGACAAAACAAGTTAGTATCAGAGGAAAAAAACCTTGGATTTTTGCAGCTTGATTCAGAGTTATATCTACTACATACAGTGTGAAATGAATATTCCTGATGTATTGTCAAGTAATAAACCATCATCCACACAGAGGCACATTAATATGCCATTAATTAATAGAAAGTGTTTTCATTTGAACTCCTAAGAGATCATTTCAGAACCATCAAATCAAATTAGCATCACTAACCCACTACATTTAAACATGGTTGATAAATAGTAAAATTACATTCATGCTAGATATTCTATTAATATACATTAGGATAATGTGGTTTTAAATTTATTAGTTTTTAATTTCAAAATGAGTTTATGTATACTAGGATATGTATAAATGCCTTAATTATTTATGTATATATTTACTTTTATATACTACGTAATAAACATTTTATCTATCTGTCTATATACCACACAAAGATTGGTACATACTATACAGTTAGCATTACTATATGTGTAGAATATTTCTGATTTATGATTATGGTAATTATCCTGACAATAAGATAAAGAGAAGTATGAAGCTAGAAAATATAGGAGATAATCTATTTAGATGGTGAAAATAAACATTGAACATAAAATATGAGGGAAATCTTAAATATCTCTTAATATAGGAATATATTTTATGTAAACTTATCAATTTTCATTATACTCATATGTTAATTGAATTGAGAAACAATTTGGCATGAGCCTTTTAATGAATAAATACGTTCTATATTTTATCAGGTAAACGAGAAGAAAGAATATGCCAGAAAGTGACTATTAAATCAGTTATAAGGAAACAGGACTGTATAAGTCAAAGCTCTGTAAGTGGAAAAATATCATTTGTTATAATAAAGGGCATGTGTCTTTCCAAAGTATATCTATTGCAGCACTAATAAGTTTGTAAGCCAACAAAATGCTAACACAATATTTAGCTTTGAGATTATTCTTAAATTCTAATATTAAAATATTCTGTGAAGAAGTGTGAATTACTCTTAGCATAAGTAGTCAAAAGTTTGGAAGTGGTAACTGCAATCTAGAGAGAAGGAAATTAAATCTAAATATATTTGACTACATATTTTCTTAACTATGCAATTCTACTCCGCAAAAATAGTCCTGGTTCTTTTAATATGACCCATACAATTCCACAGTCTACTTGAGCCATGATATAATATGGGTTACAATAGACTCATTAGATTATGATTAATATATTGCAGTCACCTGTCTAGTTATGTGAGCAAGTTTCAAAATTTCTGTCAGCATTGCTATCCTAGGCATCACCATGGAACTAAGTTACTAAATTTCAACCTGGTATGCTATGCGATGTTTTAACACAGAGAAGTTTGAGAGTTAAAGTGATAAGAACGTCTTGCTTTCATTTGACTTAGTAAAATCAAGTAACCGGATTTTTAAATTTTAAGAGTTTTTTTCTCATCATCTCTCCTTACAGATAAATGTTGCATCTTGTGATGGAAAATGCCCATCTGCTACCATATATAATATCAACATTGAGAGCCATCTCAGATTCTGTAAGTGTTGTCGTGAGAATGGAGTGCGGAATCTGACTGTGCCCCTGTACTGTTCGGGAAACGGCACAGAGATCATGTACACTCTCCAGGAACCTATAGACTGCACGTGCCAGTGGAATTAGACTTGTGGATTCCAAGAACTCTATGCAACATCACCAATCAAATGGAGTTAACTTTCAGCACTGTTATTTAGGCACTGGGCAGATTTATACCGTTTACTGATAATGTACTTTTCGGACTATTGGGATATAGCAATGAACAAAAATATACACAATTTTCATGGAAAATTAGATGTACTAATTTACTTTATTTTAGAGAAGTAAATTATTTTAAGTTGTTCAGCTGAAATACTATACATATAATTGCAACATGGCAAAAACCTGAGATATGCTCATTAAGCAGGTTATTTTGCAGAATTCTTGAAATTTCATTCAGTAGTCATTTTTTGATATGCTGGTAAATGTAATCAGTTAAAATTGGTATCTGGATAGTCATAAAGGGTGGTATGCCAGAGACAGATCATAGAACTATAGGATTTTAGTCTTTTAAAAACTTGAATAGATGTTAGGGGTATTATTGCAAATTCCCCTCATTTTGCAGGTCTAGCAGATAACCAGAGAAGCTGGTGACTTGTACAAATTAATTCAGTATAACAATGTATTGAAGTCATGTTAATAGTTGGGTTAAGTCTAGATCTTTAATATTCCAGTCCTATGTTCTTTTCTTTTGGGTGGTACAGTAAGGTGTCTACCACAAACTCTTTTATTCTTAAAGAATTAACTTTGCATAGAATTAAGAATTTTAAATTCAATACTTTTACAAAAAAAAAAAAAGAAAGAAAAAGAAAAAAAACCCACAATGCCACACATTCATATGTATATACATTCATTTAATAGTTATTCCAATAATAAGTAATGGGGAAATGTAGCATCAGTTTCTAAATAGAGGAGGGATATCTTGGGCTTTTATTTTTTTATATCATTAAAACTATTATTAAATATATTGTTACCACTTAACATTTAGTTAGCTATTTACTATCTCATGCACATCTGATTTTTGAGATGTATTTGCATACTATTGAAATTGCATGCTTTTTGCTTCTCAGGCTGCTGCTTTGCCAATGAAGAATGAGATAAAATTATTTGAATGTATCAATAATTCTATAACAGAATGCTGCACTTTTTACATACAGATTATTGACATATGCAAGGAATATATCCTGAGATCTTTGCAAATGTCAAACTTCTTTGACATTTATAGTACATAACTGTCTGAGTTTCCTTGTATGTAAAAAGGAGGGAATGCCCTACTTGGTATAATTATTGTGAGGACTTAATGAATTCAAGCAGCAACAAGAGAACAATACGTTGCATTGAAAAGCAGATGAAGGGCCTGATTGTCTAGGCTCAGATATGAGTTGGGTGATTTCTTTGGTTTTGAGACCATGATTTCCCCCCAAATTGCAACTTATTAGATATTTTGGATCTCCAGGTTTACTTAGAAATAGGTGAAAGGATGAAATGAACATCTACAAAGTCCCAGTGTCTACTGTATACAAAAACTGATTTTTTTCTTATTTGTACTTAATATAAGTGTTTCATCTAGATGTTAACAATTCAATATTCTTTAACCCCTATTAATATATAGACTGAATCAAATGCTTTTGGTTAAAATAAATTAACATTTTGCTTAAGAAAAACTGTTATGTACCTCAAATGAGCACATAGTACTGTATACTGTCTACCACACATTTTTTTCATGCTCTATAAAATACTTATAAATTAAAAACAAGTCATATTTAAACTCATTTGTGAGAAAAAGAGCAACATTCTCCTAGAACTCCATAAACATTCTCAAATGCAGGAAAAATAATTTGAACACCTCCTACCAGTATGTGCCAGACACATTCTAAGCTCTGAGGACATAGGTAAAACAAAAAACACACAGTTCTCATACTCACACAACTTACAGTCTAGTAAGAAAGTAGGATTTGATGGATAAACAGCTATGAGAATGTGCAGAAAGATAGACCAAACCTTTTTGGAATGTAGTATATGATAAAGGTGGCCCTCAAATCAGCAGAAGAATACAAATGAACTTGCCATAAATGGTGTTGAACCAACTGGATTGTAACTTGGGCAGAGAGAAATTAGGATTCATACATCCATTGACATCAGGCTAAATTCTAAACACATCAGAGGTTTAAATGTGAAAAAGAAAGAGTAAAAAGAGAGACGTCCTAAAAAAAAAATTGGAGTAATTCATTATAACCTTAGAGTGGGGAGAGCCATTTAATTCTGACTCAATATTCAGAAGCCCAGGTCTCTCGTAGTAAAATAAAATGGGTATTATAGTGATTTTTATGAAAGATGGAAACCAATTTTAAGTATAGACAAACCAGGAAATGGAAACAATAAGAGCAACAAAGACCCATATGGAAAAGCCAGAGAAGTGTATTGGGTGGAGTATAAGAGCACAGGAGTCTGAGTTCATGTCTCAGGTTCATTGTTTACTAGATGGGGAACCAATGTAACCCAATTAATTGCTAATCTGCTCTTGTTGCTCTAATCTGAAAACAAAGGGAACAAGAGAACCCAGTCTAAGTATTTGAGAAGATTAACAGTGAAATATTTTTAAATATTTAGAAGACAACTGGCACACAATATTCACTAATATTGTCATTGCCATATTTCATCACATTGAAGACACCCTCCCCCATCACATGATCTATTATTTTCTGTATTGCCTTGATAGAAAAAACGCCTACTATCCATGCATAACACCATCAATTTAGAGATGCATTGTGGTGTCAGAGATGCTGAAATGTGAAATGAAAGTAAGTCTTGGAATTAATGAAATACCATTTAACTATTTAGATATCATTTAGAAATAAGCCATTTGGGACAATGAAATGTTTGATTACATTAATATTTTCAATCTTTTTCCAATTCTATTTTCCACTTTCTCACTATTGTTTCATATATTTTGTGCCTGATCATCACCTTTTGGTATCATTGTTCTGAAAATACTACTCATATTTAGATTTAAAAGGTAATTGTGGTACTTATTCCTCAGAAACAACAAATAGCATGTCTGAAAGAAAGGCAAAAGTGTATGACTGTGAGTGTGTGAGGGGAAGAGAGCTGAAGAATGTGTGGATAGTTTAAACATTTTTAAAGTTAGTATTCAAAATTACTTGATAAATATGAGAATCAGAAAAATGCAAAAAATAAAATATTAAATCAGATGTTAAAAAGAGTTGCCAAACTTAAGGCAAATCAGTTTTTTATTCAACAAATATAAAGGTAACCAATGTGAACTCAGTGTGCTACATGTGATATGTGAAGAATATACATCAAGTGGCCAGGTTACTATGATCTCTGAATGCATAATAATCTGGCCACTAAATACACACACACACACACACACACACACACACACACACATATATATTAGAGTCCCAGTGCATGAATTCATGCATGGGTGGGGTCCAGCCAGCCTGGCCAGAAGGAGGGGACATGGGCGGTTGGCTGGCCTGCTTGCTGGTAGAACTCCTGGTTGAGGGGACAATTTGCATATTAGCCTTTTATTATATAGGATGTACATTGAGTGGCCAGATTATTATGCGTTCAAAGATCATAATAATCTGGTCACTCAGGTATAAAAAAAAGAGTAAGACATCAATTATAGAAAGAAAAATATATAAAAGAAAACGAGTTAAAAGTATGTTACAAAGTAGCATAGTTAACTGTGACTAGTTTCCCACCGCTAGCATAATGTTTTCCTGATTAATACCACATTATTATTGTTATTATTATTATTCTGAACATGACCACAAGTAGTCTGTACTCATCAAACAGAAATTTGGTATCTACTCAGGAGAGGCTGATTCGGTACTGAAATTAAGTTAAACACCTTCATGAGACTGAAGTCAGCCCCAGAGTTTGCACCAGAGATTGTGAGAATTTAGAGGAGACAACATTAGTGTGGGGTGCTGGAATAGTTATTAATTGAATTCAAAGCCGGCTTTGTAACAGACTAACTGGATTGGATTGTGCAAATTACCTTATCATTCTGGGCTTCTGTGTCCTTGTTCATACAAAGCGCAGACTGAATTTAGGACTTTATATTTCCTTCCACCTTCCATCCTTTAATTTTCTGATATTATGTTTAACATGATGAGTGAGGGAAGAAAAAAAGCTGCTGTCAGATGCTGGCCTTCAAGTACGTGCTTTATGATTCATGGATACAACCTTGGGGTTTTCCAAAGAAGTCTTCGTGGGTTCTCATGGAATATGATCTTGGTAAATTTCTACTCTATACACTGATAATAATTATGACTACCATTCAGGACCAGGTTGCCTTCACACTTTATTCTCACTTATTCCTAAACATACCCCTCTGAGGTGTGTGTTATGACTTTCATTTTGTGGAGGAAGAACAGGACCACTAAAGTTGATTATTAACAATGATAATAACAACTATCTGTGCTTACTGTCCACAATTACTGTGCCAAGGGCTCTTCATAGGTGAATTCACTGAGTCCTCACATCCACCATTCTGAAGAAGGTTCTCCCATGATTCTCAGATTCGGAGCTGAAACATCCAATGACTAAATAACCTGGTCATGTCACATGGCTGGTGGTGGAGAAACAGAATTCAAACCAAAGTGATCCAGCTGCGGGATCCAATACTAGCCACTGTACATTTTGGTTAAAAATATGCAGAAAGTCACACACCTAATAAGGAAAATAGGAACCCAGACTTGGTTTCAAAACACAGACTTTTAATTATTAAGCGAACTCAGATTTCTTCAGGGGCCTGAAGTGTAAAACAATGACTTAAGTTAGGACCTAAGGCACATTGAAGAGTGCATACTCTCTGCCCCAAATCTTCCAAATTCTAAGTGCTCCTCAAAACATTGGGAAACCAAACAAACAAATCTGTTGAGTTTAGCCTGGTGTAGAAAAACATGGACTAAGAAAATTTTTACATGAATGATACAATAATCTTCTAATTCTCTTTGCAGAATTAAAGAATTTTACTTTATCTTTTTCATTAAAAAAAAAAAAATGTTGTGCCTGGCTGATGTGGCTCAATGGTTGAGCATTGACCCATAAACCAGGAGGTCATGGTTCAATTCCCAGTCAGAGTACATTCCCAAGTTGTGGGCTTGATCCCCAGTAGGGGGCATGCAGGAAGCAGCCAATCGATGATATTTCTCTCATTGATATTTCTATCACTCTATCCCTCTCCTTCCTCTCTCTAAAAATCAGTAATAACATACTAAAATTTTTTCCCCCTGTAATGTTTGTTTTATCTCCAGGAAGATGGCACAGTAAAAATAACGAATTCGTGAGGTTTAGACAAACAACCAAGAGCAATAATCATTATGTGAAGTCCAGAAAAGGGTTCATTGGTGTCAATAACCAGAGCTGGCAGATTCAGCCCATCCAGGGCAGCTGGGAAAGCGGTGGAGGAAAAGCACTTGGGAAATGAGGGAACTGCTACAACATCCATGGAGTGACAGGCAACCTTGGGCATGCACAGCAATGTAGGAGTGCAAACAGGGCTAGGGAGCGACTAACCACCCACCCAGTTCTACTGCTCTGTGGATGGGAACCGCCAAGGAGGCAGCCGAAATGGAGAGAAGGAACATGAGTTCAGTAGCCAGATGTCCTAGATTCCAACCCCAGCTCCAGTTCCAGCTCCAGGACCTATATGCTTTGAGCAAGCCTCCTAACGTCTCAGAGCCTCTCTTGTATAGTAAAAGAAAGTCATTTTGTCCTGACTATTATCATCGAGATACTTTGAATAGGAATAACTGTTACATACTGTATGAATATGAATATAGATGTGGTTTTCCTAAAAGGCTTTCAGGCCAAATTCCATTTTAACAACAAGCACTGCATATGAAAGAACGCCTTCATATTACATGTTTTGAGACTCCCCAAGCCCTCCTCATCCTGAAAATATTTGATACAATTGAAACTCTTACAGGTATTTTGAGACTAGCTTCTGAAGTTGCTTGTAACAGAGTGAAATCTGTGTACTTCAGTAAATAGAGAAAAGTTTTCATTCATTGCCTACACCACTTTCCACTCCCTAATATTTTTTCTCCTGTATCTCTTCAGACAACTACTTTAAAAGAACTTCGGAGAGGACATGCTAACTTAACATTTTAAATTTTACTTTCAAGACTCAATTCTCTTGACACATTCTTATTATGTGCTTATTCTAATACGAATGTTGCCAGGCACATAAATGGAATTTATATTGATTAAAAGATAACTTCTGCATCTAATTAGTGTGATTTGGTGGGACGGCGGCAAGGGGTTGGGGGAGAGACAGACCTGCCAACAATTACAGGACAATGGTAATGGCTACAGTGAAAGTACATGAAATAAAGAAGAGGAGCACTGAGAAAGGGCACCTCATCCATCTTGGATGTGAGCAATGAGTAGGCATTTTCCAGGTCGGCAGTTGCAGCTGCATATACACAGGCAGATGAGAAGGAACCCTGAATTCTCCCACATGAGTAGTTTAGTTCAACTAGAGCAGTGTTTCCCAAACTTTTGACATATGTGTACCCCTTCTATAATTTTCATAATGCTGAGTAACCCTTGTACTCATGAGAACATAGAATTAGGTGCAGCTAAGCATGGTGCAGTGCATATCCCCACCAAACTCTTCCCATACCCCTGGGGGTACACGTACCACACTTTGGGAAACACTGAACTAGAGCATAGAGAACTTAAGTGAGACTAGAAAGGATGGAATTGAATTTTTTTAATCAGCACAATTATCTAGCTAATATTAATAGGAAGAGAGCAAAGGGGAGGCCAGACATGATAAGTATGGTCATCTGTGCAGCTTCATCAGGAAGCTACAGCTTCACACAGCATTGCTCCTCCGAGGAAATCACACCTTCTTACCCCCCTCCAGCACTGGACTGTTCAGGGAGAAGGGTGGTAGGTGCATGCACAATGAAGTTGGGGTGATGAAGGGAAGATGCTTGCTCATCCGTCTAACCTGGGGAAAAGATCATTGGATAAGGGGTGGAGCACTGCAAGTGCATAAGCTTAGAAAGTTACAATCCCCAAAGGATTTCTTTTCGTGTGCCCCTTGTTTCCCGTCACTCTCTCACTCCATGACTCGCCTGTGCACTAACCTGCCGTGTGGCCATAAGCAGCTGCATGGCTCATGGCATGTGGACCCCACACGCAATGGACTGCAGCTGGAAACACAAGCCAAGCTAGCTAGATACTAGACTGGACTTTAATATGGAACAGCAACTCTGGACACTGGTTCTTATTCTGG